TTGTACATTGTGGAGATTCGTTTGTCGCTGAACTGTAAAAAACAGCCAAATCCGACTTGACTGTCAAAATTCGTCATGACTGTTGAGATGTTTCTACTGTATAAAATCACTCAAAACAGACATCTACACATCCAAACAGACAGAAGAGAGGACACAAGTGAAAAATAGATAAAATCAATGAATTAACATGAAAGATCTCTTGTTGCTGTCCACGTTTATTGATGTCATAAAGTTGAACAAGAAGTAAAAGTTGCTGTTAAAAAGGAGTTTCAGTGAGATGTTACATCAGTGTAGTATTTCTGTGGCACAGTCGGAGACTATGACAAGCCTGGTCAACACCATCTACAACAAACTGCCATTAATAAAACAAATAGCAACAACAGGATGAGGAACAGAGCAGAGTGAAGGGGAGAGGTGCTGTACTGTAGATGCAAATGCTGCAATTGCATCTCAAATTAGCCACCATCAGTCTTCACGACTTGTAAATAAACACGCACGATAAATACACCCTACGTCCCATGCCAACACACACTCACATCTTTAAATACCCCAGCTCTGACGACTGAGATAGCACTGCTCATCAAATTTATGCGTGAGCGAGTCCAGGCTAAATTTGTAGCCAGGGAGCCAACTTACGCAATCCTCCCTGGTCTCCCTCCTGTCTATACAATGCCTTAAAATCTCACAGTTCTCAAACCATCCCAGCCCTCCCCAGATCTTCACTCCCACACTATACACTACAACTCCGGCACTATTCCTGTACCAGCCCCCGCCGCTGTGCCACAAAAATACCAGCACCTCCAAGAACAGACGCCAAGCCTGTCAGAGCATCATCACATCCCACAGGACAGCTGGGGGGAGGAGGGAGGGAGGGAGGGAGAGAAGAGAAGAGAAGAGGAGCAGGTGGAGGGATGAGCACAGCCGCTGTCGAGAGAAACAAATCAACAGAGAGAGAAAAGACAAAATAAATACTCTCTCTATGAGGGAGGGGACACAGTTTACAGTTATATCCTTGTGGATCAGCCACAAACTGTTTCTCTTACTTCATCTGATGGGGCTATTATGTGGAAATCTGTGGTGTTGTTAATATTATATTATTATAAGATTTGTGAGGAAGACTTTATTTTAACTCCATCCCCCTGTATACAGTATTTATAAGCAATTTGTTGCTTATAACACACTATTATATGGTAATAATAAACACAGTTTTACAGTAAAGTGTAAAGTAAAGTGTTACCTGGATCTGTTAAGAAAAATTAGACTTACACTATCTGCAACTTTAAGGAACCATTGTTCACAACCTTTCAGGAAATACCAGACTCCCAATGCGATATTCTGTATGTTTTGTAATGGTTTATGAATGAATATACACAGCTCCTACAAACAGGAGATTTAATTATTTATATGACTTGTACAAACCAACTGGCTGCAGCGGTGATGATTTAGGTCTGCCCTGTTAAAGGCGGTGAATACTTAGGAGTATAAAGTATTTTAATTTGAATTTTATATTTGTAGTTAATTTATATTGCTTTGTAGAGATCTATTTTCACTTTGACATTAAAGGGTGATTTTTGTATTGTATTGTATTGTAAAAAGCACATTAAGTCTTCTTCATTCAAGCTCTACATGCCAGTTATAATCTATTACCTGATTGTAAATTCATTAAGTTTGTAGGCAGATGACAATAATTTACGCAGTCTTAATGTTTTAGTGTTGAGTTTGGTCAAGATTAGAGATAACGAAGAGTTTAATGTTTATTGATTGATTTTTAGCCATGCTAGCAGAACGATTCAACTCAGCAACTATTTAGTGGATTGCTGACAATTTGTATAAATATTCATGAGGTTGACGCCTTCTGACTCTTAGTGATCCACTGACTTTTCCTCTAGCGCCAGCATGAGGTCCACATTCGTGGTTTTTAGTGAAATATCTCAACTATTGGAGGAAACCTTCTGCACACAATCACGCCCCCTTCAGGATGAATTGGAATTACTTTGGTGATCTCTTGACTTTTCATCAGGTGCCATCATCAGGTAAAAGTTTTAATTTGTCCAATAATAAACCTGCAGATCTAATGACTTCTTCATCACCTGTACTTTGTGTTTAGTAGAAATTAGTTTAGCATGCTAACATTAGCATTTAGCTCAAAGAACCACTGTGCCAAAGTGCAGCCTCACAGAGACGCTAACATGGCTGTAAAAGCACATCTATACTGAGTCCTGTAGATAGTGGGGATGCACGATAGTTATCAGGGCAAATGTATTATTATTATCGGCCGATACATTTATATTATTATGAATTATCTGGATAATCAAATTACAGCCAAGAAATTATCGGTCTATCATTTATTTGAATTTTTATGCAAAACAATTCATAGGCTTTATGTTCTATTAAAACCAAAGAATGGTTGGGAAGTTTTTTGATGAACTTTAGGTTTAATGAACATTTGAAGAGTCAGAACTGTTATTTGATCTGTTAACAATAGTGATAGTTGGATCTGGTTAATAAATATTAAATCATCCATCTTTTCTCACTACATCTTTATGACCATCAGGTGTGTAAAAACTGCAGGTTATCAACTTATTTTGAAAAGTTATCTGTTATCTTCACGATCAGCCAATAACATTATGACCACCTGAACACCCCGGTGGTCATAATGTTATGCACCGTGTGTTCTGACACCTTTCTTTCAGAACCAGCATTAACTTTTTCAGCAGTTTGAGCTACAGTAGCTCGTCTGTTGGATCTGACCACACGGGCCAGCCTTCACTCCTCATGTGCATCAATGAGCCATGACCCTGTCTCCAGTTCTTTTCTTTCCTTGGACCACTTACTGACCACTGCAGACTGGGAACTCCCCACAAGAGCTGTAGGTTTGGAGATGCTCTGACCCAGTCGTCTAGCCATCACAATGTGGCCCTTGTCAAAGTCGCTCTAATCCTCACGCTGCCAATTTTTCCTGCTTATAACGCATCAACTTTAAGGACAAAATGTTCACTTGCTGCTTGATATATCCCACCCACTGACAGGAACCATCATAACCAGATAATCCGTGTTATTCACTTAAACCCTCAACACAATGTTATGGCTGATCGTTGTATATCGGCCAAGAGAAGTCAGTAATTGAACTGAAAATTAATATCATATATCTCTACTGGATACCTCATTTTACTGGCCTTGTTGATGCCACAGCTGTCACATTGGCTGACCTCCTGCACAGCTGAACACAGAGACACAAGAAGAGGAAAAATGAAAACAAAATAATAAAACAGGTAGAGCTGATAGAGAGGCCAGACACTAAGAAGAATCTATGGACTGTTTCTCTCTTTCTCTCCTCCACTCTCCTCCATCACAATGTAGATGGACGGTTGCCGAGGACAACCTGTGTGTACTCACCTAACGATGAACAGGAAGTGGTGTGTGAAAAAAGGTGCTATTAATAGCTACATGTGTAGAAAGGACATTTGCTCACGTATGTGTGTGTCTGTGTGTGTGTCTGTGTTTGTGTGTGTGCATGTGAGCACCTGTGTGCAGCCAGCGTGTAGCAGGGAGGAGGAGGAGGAGGATGTAGATTGTGAGACTCAGACAGTTACTAGAGAGAACAGGAGGAGGGGAGAAAGAGTGAGGGATGGATGGAGGGAGTGAGGGAACGTAGTGGAGGAGGGGGCGAGTGTGTGTTGACGCTGTACGTGGCGTCAGTGCGATAAGAATAGAGATGGTGCGTGTAGCGCTGCTGAGACATCACCCTCACACCCTCAGTGGGGCAGGCAGTACTCACTCTGACTGTGTGTGTGCACAGATATTACCCAGGGTATGCTCATGTGTGCATGGATGACTAAACTGTTGGGGTTGCTGTGATTTATTTTCTTTCAGTTGTGTAATAACAGTTATGTGTACCATTTCAGTTTAATTTTTTCTTTTTCATCATTACCCAATTTTTGAAAGAGCAACTAGAGAATATGGGAATTACTTTGAGAAAAAAAGGGTAATAATGTGGGCTATATCTGGGTTTTGGGACAGTTTTCTTGTTATAATGCGTAAGAAAAGACAAAAGGAACACATTCAAACACACATCTGTAGTTATGAAATCAATTTTATTAAATTGGGGAGTAATATAACAGTGTTACATTGTTATTAAATGATGGCGCTGCATACAGAGGTATCATTATATGCACTTATTGTACATATTTTGTGTGTGTATATGGGTACCCTGTGTGTATACAGGGTTGGGGAGTTACCTTAAAAATGTAAACTGATACCATTACTAAATGGCTGTGAAAAAATGTACAGAGTTTATATACTACAGAAAGTAATTAAACTGGACCCCTGAATATCTATTTTGGGTAATGTATAAATGCTCAAAGAGATTAATATTGATGAGAAGAAACTAATACTATTAATAATGAGAGCAGCAAAAAAGTGGAAATCCAAGCATCCATTTGGTGGAGAGAATTATTGTTACATTGCACCCCAGAAAAATCATGTATAAACCAATGACATTTGACAGGACATGGATCAAACATGTTCACAATATACAAAACATAAACTGTTACCTTTATAGATTCAATACTCTTCTGTATGAACTGAGGCTGATGATGGATTGTTGGTATTAATGATAAGTTTAGAGGATGCTGAATATGTATGTGTTTGTTGAGGTGAAGAGATGGGGAAAGAGATTGTGCAAATGTTTTAATGACTATATCAATTAAAATAATAAAGAGATCTATTAAAAACAAATGTAGTCAGTAACCTAATCCAAGTATCACAATATTAAAGTAACGTAACTTGATTAGTTTCAGTTACTTTTGGATTACCACATCACCAAATAGGAAAATAAAGACAAGAGGAAAGAAATATCAATGAGATGACTTTTACATATTTCTATAAGACAAAAGAACAATGTAACTTTATAAAAGAAAATGAAGATTTTTTAGCATAAAAATGTGCTCTCTGCTCAGTATATATATATATATATATATATATATATATATATGTAATATTAAATATATATATATACACACACACATGGGGTGACATACAGCAAAGGGCCACAGGTCGGAGTCAAACACATGGCCCCTTGTTCTTTATTTTAAAATATATTTTAATCCTGCTAATAATCCCCATTTTACTTAAATTTAACTGTAATCTAATTACATATTTTTTCTGTAACTGTAAAACATCACAGTTATGTATCCTGATTACATTACTCAGTTGTGTGTAATCCGTTACTCCCCATTTATATACTTATATACTTTATTCTAGTTCATTGTCCATTTTATCCTATTGTAATTTAAATATGTGAATATCTGTTTATACTCTGTGTGGAGGGGGCAACCACTGCATTTAACTTTGCAATCTTGTATTATAAACTGACTATAAAACTGAACCTTGAACCAACATCAAGGCTATAGCCAGAAATATGAGAATGGTACGAGATGAAGCAACAAGCTGTTGCTTTGGAATAAAGCTCACGTGAAAGAACAGTTTTAAAATACAGTTCTTATAATGTTGTCTATGTTTTGGAATCAACAGCAGACTGTGGCTCAGGTCTAACGGAGAGACCCTGTTTGTTCATAAAGCCTCTTCACATTGTCAGGAACTGAAGCAGCCACTGTGGACGGACGGAGAGCAGAAACAGAGAGTCAAAAACTACAGTTCAGGTGCAGGTCAGTGTGAACACATAACAGAGCACATTTGATGAGGTACTCACAGAGTTGATCCCTCTGTCTTTCACCTCTTGACTGGTCTCTGATTCATACAGAGCTGAGGAGCAGAGGAGAGGAAATGACTACCATGCAGTATCTTTTGCAAAGGCTCAACATTCAGGAACTTCTGCATCGAGTTTAGAGTTTGTTTTCAAAAACTGAGATCCAGAGATAAGAGTTTATTTAGTCATAGTGCAAATATGCATGAAACCTGTTAACATGTAAACAAACTGAGCGCATCAGTCGTCTAAAAGCAAACTGCAGAACGTCACACACCATGATCATATCACGGGATATATGATGTTATATTAGTTTGTTGTTGTTGAAACAGTAAAATCATAGAAACAGTTTCCTGTATTCAGCAGTGGAAGATGTACTCTACTCGATCCTTTACTTGAGTAAAAGTACCAATACAAAAATGTAAAAAATACTCCATTACAAGTAAAAGAACTTCATCCTACTAAAAGTGGATAGAGAGGATTTTGCTGATAATTCTATATTAGCTAAATATATTTAAAGTTTCAAAAGTAAAAGTACCCGTTCTGCAGTGTCCACTGTGAGATATTTATTATATTGTGTTATATTATTAGATTGTTAACCCTGATGCAACACTGGGAAAGCAGCATTTTACTGTTGCAGACGGAGCTAGTTTAGTTTAACTACTTTATTTACAGTTTGGTAGTTTTGTGCAGTGATTCCCAACCTAGAGATCAGTTCCCTCCAAAGGGCCACAAGATAAATCTGAGGGGTCATGTGTTGATCAAGTTCTGTTGCCCAAATCTGAAGTAGTTTTCTAATATTTGCTTTTTTTTTGTTAAACATTGTATAATTTTACAGTTGTGAGGAATTTAAAGGGTACATTTTCTTTATCTGGAACTGCTAACAACTCATAGACATCTGAAACACACAAACAAACCCAATAACTAGTTATTAGCAGTTAGATAAATGTAGTGGAGTTTAAGAACGTGTGTGTCTATATTTTACAACTTTTGGGCAAAGTTCATTGATTAATAAATTGATCTTACACAACCAATTAGCTGGTACATTCAACATTAAGTGCCTGTAAATCTGTAGTATGTGGCAGATTTAGTGCAGATGGGTCAAAAAGATACAGAGCTTACTGAAAACAATGATTAATCTGAGTTGACCAGCTGGTGTCAGCTCATGGATCCATTTCTTCATTATTAATATTTTACAATACAAATATAGGTTACTATTCTAATCCCTGTAGTGTTTTTATGGTTCTTTCTTTTTCTGTAAAGCACTTTGTAACATTGTTAGGAAAGGTGCTGTATAAATAGAGTTTATAATGTGTGGCACAGATGCATTGATGGATGTGTGTGTGAATCTGTGTGCGTGTGTGTGTTACCAAAGAGTTTGTGCAGCCTGGTGACACATGACACAAAGCCATGAAAGGGCATGTGAAGATCTCCAGATGCAAACCGCACAGACAGCAGTTGAGTTACCTTGTTATCACACTGCATACCTGGGGATCAGAGGAGTGGACAAAGGTGTGAAACCAAATGACAGCAACCATCTGTGTGCATATAGTGGTGTAGCGTGAGCATACCAACAGCCTGCAGCGCTGTACTGAGCTCAAAGGGGCTCATGGTCCCGGAAGAGTCCTCGTCAAACTGAAAAAAGATGGACTGAAAAAAAGGAAGCAGCATCAGAATAAGTAATTATGACACAACCGTCTGTCTGTTCCTGTCTGTAACACACACTGAGCTGTACCTGCAGATTGCGCAGACTGGACAGCAGGGTTTCTGTTTGTTTACGGCTGAGACTGGAGAGCCCTTTAGTCTGTCAGCAGAGTTAAGGACATCTCAACAGGACAGGAGATGAAGTTATGAGGAACAGTTGGGTGGCTTGATGACTCAGCCGGAGGACCCGGGGTTTTAAACTCTTTCGTCAGCGAGCATCTGCCCCAATGAAGTGTAAAGCGAGCAGAAGTCAATAAACAGCAGAAGTTATAATGTTAACTCATAAATAATAACTTGAATACACCATATCTGTACTGTAGTCGACTGCAGGGACTCTGTGATATTGAAGAATATACTGAGGACAAAAGGATACATCCTCTCCAAAGATGAGCTGCCTGCATGTCTCCAGTGGCAGATGGTAATCTTTGACAAGAGCTGCGATTAGGGAAGAAAGCCACAGATTCATGCAGAGAAAGAAAAAATAAGCATTTAAATTGGATTAAGTTGAGGAAAGGTGAAGGTGAGGACAAGTTTAGTCTTTTAACCAGCTCAACTGTACTTTATCTGACTGCAGCTATGAGCCTCCGTCTAGACTGGTGACCTCTGCAGCTCCACTGTTCCAACTTTTGAGGGAACATGTCACTACTTTGCTCCCACCTAGTGGCCATTATAGGTATTATACAGGCAAAGATCACTTGAGGTGAAGGTTTGTGAAGCTTTGTGTCATTTTCAGATGCTGCTATTAAAAGAAAAACATGATACTGGAACCTGAATTGAACAGCGTCATGAGCTCCTTGGCATTCAGTCTGTCATCCTGCAGGGGAAGACAGATGAAACAGGTTTGAATTGTTTAACCAAAGGCCCCCGAAGTTACACATTTATTATGTAAAGTGCAGTGATGAGTAATTCTTACTGGGCCAGCCTCCTCATCAAAAGTCTTCTGAACTCTCACGTGATCGTCCAGGGAGATGGGAGCTGCCATAACCTGTTCGGCACAAACATGTCAAACATACATGATATTCTTCTGGTTAGCTGCTATTGGCTGGTGCTTTACTGTACACAGACTCACCGGGAGGTAGCCGGAGGAGCAGGTAAAGTCCTCAGTCCTGAAACACACAAGATCACATTGTCAGTGTTGCTCTCTTAAATTATACTTTATAACTGTTTGAACACTCATTCAGGTCCTTTACTTAAGTAAAAGTAGCAACAATAGAAAATACCTTTTAAAGAAAAAAAAAAGGAGTAAAATCACATAATTATTCAAATAAACTAATAAACTATTACTATTGAAGTAAAAATGATTCATTATGCATAATGGCACCTTTTAGAGTGTTAAAAAAAGGTCCTGAAAAACAAGTTACAGCTTTGTCCTTCTTATAGTAGGTGACAACATGTAAACCCAAACAGAATTTTGCATAACTCCAAGCTGAGCAGGTTTTATCAGCCTCACAACATCTATGACGAGATATTTTGTTTAATATGTAAAATCAAAGTAACTATAGCTGTTAAATAAGAGAAGTGTTTCAATATTTCCCTCTTAAATGTAGTGTAGTAGAAATATAAAGTGTAAATATTCAAGTTACAAGTACAAGTGCCTCAAAACTGTACTTAAGTACAGCACCTGAGTAATTTTCCACCACTGGAAAATAAAGATGATTATTATAGTCAAAGTCAAACTACAACTGCTCTCTGCTGTATAATTGACTGTTGTCGCTAACAGAAGCCATGAGAGGTGGTTTTAATAGCCGGGTGTTGTTGAGACTAATTGCAATTTTCGAAATTACACATTAGTACAATGTTGGGAACACGAGCTAAGTTTGAGTGTGGGTGACTATGACTCTGCTGTTGAAAGTGAATGAGGTAGGAGGTGATTCAGGGATGCTGTGGAAGCCCTCAGGAAGTGTTTGTCTATGATTTTAAAGAATATCTATGATGGAAGGAGATGCACACACTCAACATTTACAGGAGGTGGTTCATAAAAGGAGCTGTTTTTCTGACACCAGGCTATTGGTATTATGGTGAAAAATGTCATTCAGCTACAGTAAGTATTTTCTGTTCCTTTCCTTACCCCAGAGTGTTTCCAGTCTTGGAGAAAATGCGAACAAAGAACTCTCCGGTCTGGTTGGGTCTATAGGTGGACGCCACGAGGATGTAGTTACCCGGGTACAGATGCAGCTTCCTCCACACACCCCTGAGGGACAAAGTTAATGAGTTATATTCACTGACTTCCAAAAAGTTATCAGCTAAACTTGGACAATTCTATATTAAAACAATACACGTTTTATAGAGATAGATGTATGTTGTATTGTCTTTTTTATATGTTTTTGCCACCCCTGGCCAAATGAATCTTCTTCTTTTGGTTAATAAAGCAACATTTTATTTGATCATATTTAAATTTTCTCACCAGATAAAGAAACATACTTTAACTTCTTCAGGTGAGTATGCAACATAAAATAGTGACTTGAATTATATCTCAATTTTCAAGGACTCTGGGACTAAAAGCATTAGTCATTCATTCTCCTCTTCAAGCTTTTGCATTCAGTTGGAGAATTATTTCTTGGTTTTGTGTGGAAGCAAATTAGAGGCACACAAAAGAACTGGGATTACACTTGATTAGCACAGTATATAAACAGTCCCTAAAGGTACCAAGTAAAAGCATCAGCACCAAATGTTCAGCTTTTATAAACATATTAATTAAATAATTACTAATAAGCACTTATTTTGTCCTTTTACCTCTGGGCCTTATATTTCCCAGAGCGACCCACTGGACGATTCTTCATGAAGAAGCTGCGGCTCAGACACACACCCTGGAGCTGTATGAAGAAGATATTTACTTTAGTTACAAAGAACATACATTGTTCTGATATTAATTTGAATCCAAGAATGGAAATGGATTCATCTGCAGCCCACGAGACACTCACCTCAGAAGGAACCTACAAAGAAGAGCAAACACAAAGACAAGTGTGAGTGAAACAGAATATAAAGTAGGCAATGAATAAAGGGGAAAGTTCACTTCCATCATGAAAAAACCCCCAGTGGACAACTACCTACAACTACTGACAATGTTTCATAAAGCATTAAAGTGGCATGAGTCATGATCTCGGGTAAATAATAATGGTTTTAAGAACCTTAGGATGATATGGGGGGGGGAATGGTTGTACCTCTAACGAAGATGGAGAATACATTAGAGAAGCCAGAGGCAAATTTATTCAATACAATATAAACCAAGGTTGTGTCTCCTTGGGGACAAAACTAGCGCAGCTGAGTATTAACAACCGGATTAATAACCTGTGCTCGGCTGATTCTAAGATGTTGGAAAGAGCCTCAGACTGAAAATGTGGAGGGAAGAAATTATGGAAATAGCTGCTTGTGAAAAGATGCTGGAAAGACTGAGCTAGAAGAAATGAGATGGTCAAGAGACAACGCTTTAGTGGATATATGTCCAGAGGGAGCAGCCTAACTTGAAAAGAATATAATGGTTTTATACAGTAGCTATGTAATTGTTGCCATGTACTAATAACCACCATGTTAATGTAACCAAATCCACTTTTCTTGTGTCAGTGTTGTTTCGTTTTTGTCTTTTCTTTTTGCTGCTGGATATTCTTGTTAGACCACTCAATAAAACTAATAATATAAGAGCTGATGTTCAAACTATCTAATAATCAATAAGTAAATCGGGAGTGGAGTGGTAGAGATTTGACCTTGTAGATGTGGAAAGCTATGTAGAGGAAGTGGATTTTATCCTTCTGCCTGCGGTTTTTCTGCAGCAGCTCCACCAGCACGGTGCACTGTTTGGCTTTCTCCTTCTGCCTCTCTTCTCTCTTCTTCTCCTCAGGAGTCATCGCCTCATCCTCATCATCATCATCGACGTTACCATCCTCATCCTCATCATCCTCATCATCCTCATCATCGTCGTTACTTTCCTCATCCTCGTTGTCCTGCTCTGTGAGAACCAGCTGGAACTGAGGATTCTTCCAGAATGACTCTGTGGAAATAAACAAAGGAGAGTATGATCACTTAAAGATATGTAACATTTCTGCATTAAAATGTCTATAAATACTACCTTTTGTTGTATATTTTGTCGAGTTGTGTACTAAAGTTATACCAGATGTTTCCAACAATGTTCACACACCCAATCGGTCATTCTTTTATGGTAGCTTTCGGTCAATGGCCTCATTCACTGTTGAGCAAGCGGATGTCTACAAGAAGCTGTCATAAATTTATTTTCTATCCAGTTTTCGGCCACATTTTTACAATATGCTTTTTAAAATCTTGGTAGTTTTTTACTCAATATTTTAACCATATAAAGGATTGAAGTCATCAGGATCTTAAGTGATCAGAGAAGCAAGCAGAGATAACGTAAGCAGCAGCTCAGCTACTACAGGACGTCCTTTGTCTGCTAAACAGTGATGGACAAACACTGTTTTTTTAAGATGAAACTGCTTTAGTCAGTGTTTTTACTGGTTTTAATCATCCGTCTGTTTTTTTTGGAGAGGAAAAAACCTCTGCAGATAATTTGGCTTCCAGTAGAAACCTCCGGTTTACATTAGCAGTGGCTCAACTAGCAGGCGTCCGGGATGTTGTTTCGCAGCCGAACAGCGTCAGAGAAACTGATTTGTATTCATTGTTTTTACCAATTTTATCCACAGGTCTGGACTTTTTTTTGTTGAGGAGGAGATAATAGGATAATTTTACTTCCAGTAAAAACCTCCTGAGCGACGTCTTTTGGACTGAACAGAAATGACATACTTTACATTTAAATGATCTCTAGGCAAGGCTTACTTGAATACATAATATAAAGTCATAAACATACTGTTGTATCTACGGCTTCCACCAGCAGAGCTCCCCGATACCCAGAATCCCGCATGTTCACTGAGGGTCCAGGTGGACTGAGAGTCAGGTGTGTTTCCCTCCTCAATAGTGTCAGGATTCACACTGCAGAGCTCCACGATATCAAACAGTTTGGAGAAGTCCTCAGCGCTGATCCTGAAGGAGAGGAGGATTTACGTCAGAGATCTTATTGTGTTCGGTTCATTGGTCGTGTTTCATCAGCTGCCACATACCAGAAGTCTCCATCTTCTTCCTTATTCAACTGGATCCTTTCCTTCTCTGCTTTGTCCACGTCCTCCCACTCTTTACCCCTGCGGTCACACACATACAAAGAGATATTAACATCTGTGGATGGTCTGAAATCGGTGAGCGAGTGAATGCTTTCTCTCACAAACATGCACAAACAGGAGACTTCCTCACTTGTCACTCCATGGTCCACAATATTCGACAAAACCCCAGGGGTTCCTCAGTCTCAGCAACAAAACCTCCTCTGACTCTTTCTTCACCTGAAACATGAAGAGAGAAGAATTTAACATGAGAAAAGTCAAATCTGATTTACAAAAAGGGTGGTTTTCTAAGATTGTTTTGTCTGTTTTATCCCTTTTTTTATTTATTTTAAGATGAGATGAGATTAGATACAATTAGATTAGATTAAATGTATTGACCTAAGATTAGTTGTTCTGTATTAAATAAATAGATTTGACATGAGGTGAGATGAATAATAAATAAATAACTTTAGATTACAGGGGTCTTTGTATAGAAACTAATCACTGCAGAGAACAAGAACATAAGTCAGAGACACTAAAGAAACAACACACTGCTACACAGCCTGCAGCGTCATCTCTGTGTGATACTCGCCTTGTCGGTGTCTGTGATGGCGTAAGCGTGGCCCTTTATCAGCCCGTTTCCCGTCACTTTACCAACCTCACTACAGCTGCTGGCCTGCGGAGACAAAGAGAGAAACTCAAGTGGATCTAAATTAGCATCCACCCGTGCAGTGTGAACATTATTGAGGTGTGTATGTACCTGGATGAAGCAGCTGAGCAGGCTTCCTCGAGACAGGGCAGCTGTCAGAGACCTCCAGAGGACTCGAGGGGTATGAGAGGAGACCTGCACAGAGCGTGCGATGCCTCCTGTGAAATCCTCCATCCCCTCGGATATGTTGCCCCCCTTCAGGCTTCCGTAGCATCCAATCAACCTACATATGAGAGGTGAGAAAGTTATCTCCAGGTGGTATTTTTTGTCAAATCACTGTAACGACACACACACACACACACACACACACACACACACACACACACACACACACACACACACAGTAAAAGAGTGGGTGATCTCAGACATTACAACCCAGAAACATATGCTGGTAGTGGCAACTGACTTGGCATAGGCCTTCTCCACCAGGGCGCTCCAGTACTCGTTGCGGGTGTGAGAGTAGCTGAAGAGCAGACGGCCTTCGCGTACTGGCAGCCTGTCATCCACAACCACCTCCACCCACTCACCATACTGCCAGAACTGCACAGGCACACACAGGGAGAGAGAGACAGGAAGAGGAGGAAGGGATGTAATGAATCAGGAGGGAAGTTTATGTATCACTGACTGAAAAATCCAAAGAGGCAAATCCTTTAACCAGCAACAGCTGATTTTTTTTAGCCACCTGGGGGCAGCAGAAACAAACTGTAAACAGTGAAGTTGATGTATACTATTCACAATCATATGAAGTCGTGTTTCTGCCTTTCTGCCAATATTCGCTCTCTTTTGTCTTTTCTTTTGCTCCACTATATGTTCACCAGCTAGTTGCTAATTGTTGTCTGTCTGCTGTTTGCTGCTGAGCATGTAGTGTACGGCGGCTATTTAGAGCTTTTATGCTGAAATAAGCTAAATGCGACGCTATGAGAGTAAACCACAACAGCAAAGTCGTAACCTTGAATGGCAGTTAGATTCACGGGCTCACAAAATCACAAGATTGTACGAGAATCCATCCATTCATCCAGGCTATAAATATATATGCACTGGCAGCTACGGGGGTGGGAGCACATTTATGCGTAGATTAATGATGGGAATTACAGCTGCTTTTAGTGGGCCAGATCATTTGGCTCAGCAATAAGAGCTGGTTCTTCATTTACTACTTCTGGCTTTAGCTGTTGTTGAGAACAATAAAAAAGAAATAAACATACTGTTCTCTCGTCTGAATAAATCTATTAAAGCGCTTCTGAAGGCAGGTACTGGTCATGACTATGGGCGTGTACTGTACTGCTGTGTGTACACAACAGCGGCAAAGAGCAGGCCTGCACTGGCCTTTCATACCTACAGCTGTGTGTGTGTGTGTGTGTGTGTGTGTGTGTGTGTGTGTGTGTGTGTGTGTGTGTGTGTGTGTGTGTGTGTTTGTGTGTGTGTCCCAGGGGTAGTCACTACCTGCATGTCTGGACTGCTCTCCCATAACCCTAACAGGGCAAAGCTAGTTTCCAGTCCTTCCGTGCTGCTTGTTAAGTCATGTCACATTCCCCCTAACAGTCTCTAAAGGTCCAAAGCTCCAGGGACAAATAACCACCGTAAAAGTGATCTATATCTAACTAGTGTGTTTGCTTGACAAGATTTATGTGTCTTTTACGGTGATATTGATATTGATCTGTGCATGTCAAAGCCAGTAAATAATGAACTCCCTAGATTGGAATCACCACTTCTAATGAGGCGATAAAGATTAGGTTTTATGGGTTGTCTCCTATTATTTGTGAGACCACCGTGCAATGATGACTCCAGGATGAGTTGATACCTGTTTGATCCATTAATTAAATTCCAGAGCGACAGCTATAAAGAAATAGGCATCCCTCTGAAAATAGGCAAAGTCTAAAAGAATAAAGCCAGATCAGATAAAGTCAAACTATTACATGAAATTACATGAGACGAGCCAGTGTGACTATAACAAGTATAAATCAAATGTAATCTTTTATGCTTTTATTGTCCTCTGATCTCAGATATAGTATTTAACAAACACAACACAAACTGTGTGTCATATTTGGCCTGTGATCAACAATAACTGAGCCTCACGGTAGTTCAGGAAAACACTGAACGAACACTGTTGGACGCCCAATAACGCTGTATTTCTCCCCCTCTATGTTGGAATATGGAACATGTAACTTTAATATCAGCTAAAAAAATAAATGACTTGAAACTAGACTAGGACCCACCTTCAAGAGTAACTAATACATTGCATCTAGTGATGTCACTTGAGTCAGCATCAGTCAGGGCTGAAGACTTGAGTACAGTGAGTGTAAGTTGAAGTTGGGATGTTAGGGATGCACCGATATCAGTGTCGGGTATTGGGTCCGATACTGAGCTCATGGCAGCGAAGCAACAGCGTTAGTAACATTTAGTCATTGTTAGAACTGTAATGGTATAAATAAGAACTTGTATCGGTCAGTATCAGCAAGTACCCAAATGTAAATACTTGTTTTTGGTCTGAACAAAGTGGTTTCTGTGCATCCCTAGTACTTGATAATGTATTTTTGTAGTGCATATTCTCAGACAAACTTACATATTACCACAAAATCAATTGCCACAGTGGAACCCTTTGGGGAGTTTTTGGGGACCAGTGTTGCCTTCTGCATAGAGTGAGGCTCATTCTGTGTCAGCATTTAGATTTATATGAATTTCGGATGGAAAAGTATTGATAATTTGATACCACATGTTTAAAACAATCCAATACTAATGTTTAATACTATAAAAAACAGATAAACAGATAGATTTTGCCTGCACAGATGAAACATGGGGATGAAAATCAACTGGTTCTCAAACTTTAAACTTAATCATTATTACAAATGTGTTTTTAAGTTACTTTTTCTGTACCGTCACAGCTTATTTTAAGTATTTGCTTTTGTAAAGAATATCAGGTGACATGTCCAGGCAGAGATGGGGCTTGTGGTTCAGGGAGTCAAGGGTTCTCTGTTGTGCATGAAATCTAACTACACTTACCCTGAAATAGAAGATCCCTGCATAAGGCTTGGACAGGGTTTGGTTGGGTGGCACCACCTTCACAAAGAGCGTGGGGTGCATGGTCAGACAGGAGAGCGCCGCCAGCAGCCAACAGTTACCTGATACACAAAAGAAACACATGAAACTGAAAAAATGGTTTCAGTGATAATTCTTGTTTTTTTTAATTATAGTATGGGGGGGTTAATTGTCAGGGGCTAAATTTAAGAAGTTCAGAATAGATATTACAATACAAACACACTGATTCACAGTCATTAGAGATCCCTGTCTCAATAAACACCAACGCCTCCTCATGCTTGTTGTGTTGATTGACTAAAGACTAAAACTAAAGACATTTCCTTTATTTTTTATTTCTATTTCACTAAAATCTTTTTCAGTTTAGTTTTAGTGAACAATAATAAACTTGTTTTGGAATGAATCATTCTTTGTTATATATCAGATAACTTAAGGGCCCAGAGGGCACTGGGCTCCCGTTAAGCGTGATTCATGTTTCCTCAATGCTTTTCAAGCAGGTTAAGCTCTGTCATACACACACAAACACACACACACACACACACACACACACACACACACACACACACACACACACACACAGAGAGAGAGAGAGAGAGAGAGAGAGAGAGAGAGAGAGAGAGAGGTAACGTAATAAGTCAAATTCCTCTCTAACAGCAAACATCTGTTTCATGTTGTTTCTCTGGAGATGTCGAAGTAACTGTTTGTTATCTGCGTAAATCATGGAAAACCCATCCTGGGATACAATTTAACTGACAACATAAAACTCGGGTATGGACGAAGAAGGGCGGAGAAGGGGGGATGTTGGTATTGATCTGTGCTATTGACACATCTGTATCCAGAAATCCCAGAGAGGGAAGGAGTTGCTGTTGTGCAAAAAAAAAAAAAAACAATCTTCTAGTTCACCACAAAATAAGAAACAGACTGAACAACACAGATTTCTTTGTAGGATCTGCAGGCTGTTAAAGACGGGGCTATGGTGGGGTATGGACCCCCTGCGGGTTGAGGTTTTGGGAACACGGAGTGTCAGTCCTCTTTCCCCCTCGCTGTGTGTTTGAAGTTGGGTCCCTGGGGGCTCTGTGGTGCAGACATTGAGTTCTGAAGTCACAGCATTTTATTGTCGTCAGAAAAATAGGAACAAACTACGTAAAGGAGTGTTTCAGATTTTGGTTTTATGGATGTTGCGCAACTTAGCATGACATCTTCCAGTTTTAACCTTCGTTCCTCGGGGAGGCTAGATGAGCTGTGGGCAGGAGAAGCAGATTTTTAATGTGCGTGGAAGCTGAAGTTTTTCCTGATTTACTCACCCAGTTGGCCCTGGCAGATGTCAGTGGTCCCAGTCGTGCCCTCCACAAACACAGCGTTCTTGCTGATCTCCTGCAGAGCGAGAGGAGGACAATGTGAGCACAAGATGATGTCACACCGCAAATGGTTTTTCATGTCCGAGTGTGGGGTGTCAACATTCTGGACTATATGAGATAAGAGAGGATGAAAAAAGTTTTAATTTGAATAATTGTTGAAATCCTTTTTTAAGCAACCAAAGCCAAAATATCGCTGGTTCCAGCTGCTCATGTGTGAATAATTGCTGGTTTTCTTTATCATCTGTCATTTTAAACTTAATATATTTGGTTTGTGGCCATCAGTCAGACACTTGAAGACATTTGATGAACTCTGATGGGCAATGTTTCTATTTTCTGACATTGTATTGACTAAACAAGCAGATAAATCAATAATAATCTAATTATTAGTTGCAGCCCTACATGTTCCATACTTAGCATAACCATTCATGGTACCGCCTATGTATAGTCCACACTTTTCTTCCTGTAGTTTATACACTTTGTCAGTTTATAATCCTATATTTAGTCTATAAAACATGACGGAACATTTCATTTCTGATGTACTGATTTACTCTCAATAATCTACCTTCCAGGAAATTACTTTATCTTTTCAGTATATTTGTGTTACTTTATCAGTTACTTTCTTCCTGTCTTGAGGAAGCTGCTGCAGTTTATAAGCTCCTCAGATCCAAGCCACACCTGGTTGAATAACTATCAGCTAAACATCTGTCTACAGCTGCTGATAGAGCTCCTGTGAAGAAGCAATGCCAAGAAATATATTGAGAAATACATTTCACATTAGGCTACTTGCTTGGGTGTACAAGTGGCTAATAACAACAATAACATGTAGACAACTTTCATTTATATCAAACTTTGTGCACCCAAAATAAAATGTTGGTATTGCTGCAGAATACGTTCCAGATGTTGATTTCTCATTGTCAGATATGTATGTAAGTGAGGACACAAACCACTAACAATAATAACGCCCAGCAACATCTGGATAACAACTGGCACTTAACACACAACGGGACTGGTCTACCTTGGGTCGCTGCCACTTGATCGCCTTTTTTGGGTCCGGATCTTCCGGCATACCGATGGACTTCTGTTCAGCTGGAAAGGCTGAATCAGCAAACAGCTTCCCGGACTTCAGACACTCTTCCAGGAGAGTCTTGAAGTCCTGATCTTTAAACTTTATCGGGTTCTCGATGGAGCCCAGGGGTGCCTTCTTGTCACTCGCCATGCTGCTGTCAGTGAATGTAAAACTTTTCTTTCGCGATGCAAAATGTGTGAGCAGCCGGTGCTTAAATACAGATAAAGGCGCACACCCACCACCACCACCACCACCTCCGCCAGTGAGGGCCACTTGGAGCGCCTCCCCGGCTCTGCCCAGCCCGGAAAGGTATGCAGAGCGCCGGGGGCCGCGGAGAGCTGGAGTCGGAGTAATGACACGGTGCCAACAGCCTCTTTGATCTCCCTAATTTATTGTCCATCATCACCATCTGAGCGGGCAGATAGAGGCAACAAGCTTCTGTCAGTGATCTCCTTTAAGTCTCTTATTCATCCTCGCAGACATTGTCCTGGTTTTACTTGAACTTGTTTAATCTGGTTGAACTTTTATTTGTGTTTCATTTTTTTGTAAAGCAGTTTATAACGTGTAAATGCGCTATAAATAAAGATTATTATTATATTGTTATTGTTGTAATAACATAATGTACGAATAACTGGACAGCTGTGCAGGAACTGGCCCCCACCACTACAGGTATCCTCCAAAAAACCCAAAATGTTTTAATTTGTACTTCTTTATGTATTCACCCTGCTGGAGGAAAAGTCTTAGAAAACTATCAGGGAATTAGAGACACATAAAAAAAGGCGTGGCCGTTTCACTACCGGACGTCTTAATCAACCAAATACCCAGAAAAGGAAACCTGTTTTTACATGCAGGACATGAAATGTGTCCATGTTGATTATGTGATGTGTGTCCGAGTTTGAGAAGAGAAACAGAAATTCACAAACTGTAACAGTTTAATTGTCTTATAAGGAAAAGTCACAGATCAATTAATCGAGAATATTTACTGACATATTGATCTGATACGGTTCTGTTGGGGAGGCTGATTATACATCCGAGTGGAGAGACAGTTCTCTCAAACTACCGCTAGGTGTCAGTGTACTCCACATAAAGGCACCAGACCACAAATCACCACATATCTGTGTGTGTGTGTGTGTGTGTGTGTGTGTGTGTGTGTGTGTGTGTGTGTGTGTGTGTGTGTGTGTGTGTGTGTTATGGGGGTTTACTGTAAATTGTGACCATGATGATGATGATAAATAAGGCGATGAAGAGAAAGACGTCTGCTGGGTGAACTCCAGGTCTACAGTAAAGAAAATCACATTGTAAAATCCCCTCATGAGATGTAGACGCAAGCTCACAACAACAGAAAATGCCTTTTATTCTGAAGTAATTTAGTCAAAATCACCAGTCTGGGAGGTTTCTGTCAGACTGAATGGCAATTTTGAGTATTTGAGAAAGCCCGAAGAGCTTTTTTCTCCACAACAGACACAAACTTTAAATTGTTTGTGCTTATAGCAAATATAAAATGATAAATCTGTCCAACTCTTACATTTTCAGTTTTGATTTACTCAGTAGAAGAGGAGCTGATAAAAATGTAGATGTGTACGTCCACAGTATTGGTTTCAGTTACTGAACATATGTTCTTGTTCAATATTCTCCTAAAAGAGATGCTGCTGAACATCATTCAAACATAAGGCAGATTACTAGCAGACTAAAGACAGTGATCTTTGTCTGAGCTCTCTAATAACATAAAACATGTGATTTAAATTGGCATTAATAATAGTACGGCAATGAACATCATTTGCTAGATAGACATAAATAAAGAGAATATCAGTAAGTTTGTTTGTTTATTTGTGTTTTTGGGAGAACTTCTGACCTTGACTTTGTCTACTGTATGTGATGGGGAACAGATTATAAAATCATGACAGCATGCTAAATACAAATTGAGGAAGAGTGCCTGAGATGGCATTGCACAGCAGAAATGTGACGCTGATATTGGCACTCATTCTGCTTTATAGTGTCCAAAGATTCAGTTCTCTTTCTCTTTGTCTACAGCCTGAATGTTGTGGTTAACAGTCGACTGATTTTGGTACCGTTTGATAAAGGAAGTAGTAGTTAATGAAAGTTTTAGTAATGTTATTAAATAATTTACAAATGCTTTATAGATCAGTCAAACTTTTGGTCTCCTCCAGTGGGACATTTGTTCTTTTTAGGTCTGATGTAGTCATAACAACTTAATAACATATATAACTGCAGAGTTGATGTCTGTTAGAAAGTAATACTCACAACTTTTAGAATCTGGCAACCTAGTTGTTATAATTAAGGGCTTATTTCTAAATTAAGAAAACACAAGTTACCAAGTAACCATTATTAAAGCCATTAGGCATACTTTATAAACATTTGATTATATATTCCGATTTTTAATACCTCCCATCACTTAAATAAGTATGTTCAGTAAAAAAAAATCTTATAAAACAAGCCAAAAACATATTACCAATGTAGAAACATTATATTCCCAACACAAACAGTCTCAACATGCCTTCCTTACACTTTTACAATTAATCCTAAAATAAAATAATCTCACATAATTTATATATTGTTTTCAGTATATTGATTGTCCGTGCTTCAATATAAGACTACATGTGTTAAGGCGGATGTCCTTTGCACAATACCGGTGTAATAGATTATTCTCAAGGACTTGTTGTTTTGCTGTGATACCTATATTTACCAAACGAGGTGCTCTGGCGTCCTCCTGTGTAGACCACTTGTGAACTTTGGTCTGGACTCTATAATAATCTGAAGTGGACATCCAATTACCGCCCCCCTTCCTCCCCTTCCTCCCCTTCTCTCTCTGCCCTCTTGTGTCGTGTCATTCATTAAATTTAGGTGGATATCCATCTCCAATAAACTGTTGTCCTGTGGCGCTCACTCCCGGCCTCTCCAGGCCTCTCCAGGCGTCTCCAGCCGTCCCTCCATCACACGCCTGATTACACTGAAAACGTGAGAGTGACCGGGACTAAACAAACAAGAAGAATAGCGACACAGATCCGCCTAATGGTCACCATTTAACTCCATTCATGGGCTCTCCATTATGTCCGTATGGTCTTTGAGGACAGGATTATAGGAAGCCCCAGTGACAAAGGTCAGAGGGCCGAGCAGACACTCCCACACCTCCATGACCTGCTCTGATCCCACGACCCCGGCACCAGCAGCCCCTGGGCCCCTCTCACTCTCCCCGCTGGTTAACCGGCTTTGTCCCGGCCCGTTTTCTGCCGCATCACTCACACACACATCACACCAGACAGAGCGGGTCAGGAGATGGAGAGGGGGAACTTAATTATCCCCCAGTAGGAGACGTTACTGCAATATACCCACTGGCCTGTATATGACACATAAATATTGGTCTGTATTTTATATCGGTTGTTTTGTTTTTATTGTGAAGAACTTTAACTTGCTGCTCTTGAAAGTGGCTTTAAATAAACTAACTTGTGTTGTCTGTTTACTTAAGTCCTTAATCTTCACTCAAGTCTTGCTGGTACTGAGGCACATACATCTTTTATTGTTTCCTCTGTAATTTATTGGTAAACTAATATCAAAATAGAGTCAGAGTATTGAAAGATACATCATTACTCTGCTGGTTTTTAAATGTAGGGCAGTAAAAACTCATTATGTACTGATTCTAACTAATGTGGTAACATTTTTATTTAACTCTAATATTATCATACATCACTACTGAGAACATGGTATTTCTTCCTCATTTTATTAATCCTCTATTAGGATGGAAAGTACATTTATTTAAGTACTTTTGAGGTACTTTACTTGAGTATTTGGGTACGTTATATAAATATTATGCTGCATTAATTTGACAGCAGTTATTATGCAGATGAAGATCTTTCACACAACACTTATGATTGTTGTTATAGGCAAAACAACCCAACAGTATTTAAAGTAGAATCAGCTCCTCCTAAACCAAATACTGCTTGTGCAATCTGCTAGATGTAAATCAGACAGTGAAAATATATCACAGTATTGAGATCATCTCATTTAGCTGATGATAGTTCTCTACTTTTGCTTCAGTAAGATTTTAAATGAGGATTTTTACTTGCAACAGAGTATTATTAGACATGTTATTTTGTCAGTTCTGATGTGATATTTGTAAATGATCTAAATCTTCTGCTGTTAACGGGAAACATCCACTCAGTTGTTGTTGTGTTTATGTTTCTATAGGTGGAAATAATAATGTCTAATATGAAGTTTATGTGTGTGTAGCTCACAGTGGACTTTATAGAGAACAAGCATCTCAACATCTTAGTTAGGATAGTGATGGTACTGATACTGAAACGTAGCGTGCAAGAAAATGAAAAGGAAACTAGACACAGTATGTGAAACATAAAGCGTGTTTGGGGGGGGGGACAGTGGACCTGTGGAGAGTCTGGTCGAGGCGGTTAGAAGCTGCAGTTCACCTGCCCTCAGGCCTGCAGGGAACAAACACATGAAAGCATTTTCACCTGTCAAAGGACTGAACTCTACCTCCTAACCTTACTATGCATGCTATCCAGGCAGCACCTCTGACCCCAGCCCTGTGTGTGTGTGTGTGTGTGTGTGTGTGTGTGTGTGTGTGTGTACGGAGGGAGTGGGCAAAGAGTCGTGTATGGTCAAATCCAGTTTTTCCGGTGGTTAGGGACAGACTGACCTGAATATGTGTTTGTGTGTGCATGTGTGTGTAATTACCTGAGCAACTGAATAACTGTGTGTGTGTGTCAGGTTCACAAGGAGGGTCACCAGGTGCAGCAAGAACAGTAATATATGTGTGATGTGTGTGTGTGTGTGTTTATGAAAAACAGGGTCAGAGACGTTTGAGGAACAGTTTGTCAGAGTGTTTGAGTGGGCAGATGTTTGATTATATTATCTCTTCCATCTTCTTTAGGTTGTCGTTTGGTTGAAGCTCTATACATGAACAGTATAGCGTAGGCGTACAGACACATCTGCCAGTAAACAGGATATGATGTAAAAATCACCTTTTGCCAATATTCAGTCAAAAAACCATTTGAGAAGCCCAGTTCAGACACCAAAACAAAGAGGCTGTAAGTGCACAGGCAGATACTTTTGACCAAGTACACCAGTATTGATAATGTGTACACACTTTGGGTACCACCATTGGTGCTTGGTTATCATATTTAATCTAAACTAAATGAAAACATACAGTATTGATGACATTTTACAGTCCCTCCAGAAGGTTGATCAAAATAATTAAGGCAAATTCAACCCTGTGAATTCTGTGCAATCTTGCAATTTTGTCCAGTCACTGCAACTTTTCCACAAATTTGGCCAATAATTGTAGTTTCATCATTAATCATAGCAGCCCCTTTGGCAAAACGTTGAGCCATACGCTACCAAACTACTAGTAGTCTTATTCTTGCAGGAACAAGTTGCCTTTGATTTTTAATGAAATGATACTACATCGTGTTGGATGTGATGCCATGTTGAGCTGAACTTAAATGTGTCTGATTTTGAGAGTAAGTCATTCAGTATGGATTTACACTGTTTAACATACATTTTTGGGCCAATGCAGTAGTTCCCCCGCGCAGACGTTGAGCCATACGTCACCAAACAACTTAAACTACACTGGAACAAGTTGCCTTTGCTTTTCAATGAATTGCAACTATTTGTGCACTTTCTCCCACAATTTCATTGCAAACAAATGCCTGAAAAAATCACAATATTTCAGAAAATCTGCAGTGAAATCAGACATTTTAGGCCACAACAATCCCCCAAAAAGCCTGAGAAATCCTGGGGGGACAGCAGGAGGAACTGGTTTAGAAAGGTGGGATACACTCAAATATGAGATAAGTTATATCAGATAACAGCAATTCTGATACTATGTTGGCATATTTTCTACCTACAACATTTGTCATTATTAAAGCTGAAAATATGAATTCAAAAGAGACTAAACTTCTTTCTTTCTGTACATAAAGTCTTTGTTGATTTCAGACACATTCACAGAGGCAGTTTACATCTAATGTGCACACAGGTTTGTTACTTTACACTTAGAAGAGAATAAAGAAATAATAAGATTTCAGTTACATTCAGTAAAAATGTGGATTATTATCAGGAGTGCAATTTAAAAAAAACATCACATTTCTTTGTGAGCAGAAACATTTTTGATGTTACCATGTTACATTGTTGTCTTATAGAAAACATATCATCTTTTCTCTCATATCAAAATTAAGGAAAAGTAACATTACTTTAATATTGTGATACTTGGATTGGGTTACAAACAAAATTTTTTAACAGGTAATTGTATTTTTAAAGTAACCCTCCCAACCCTGTGTGTATGTAAAGAAGAGTTGTATTGTGCATGTTTTTGTCTGTTTGTCTGCCTGCATCACGCTGGCTCTGCCATCTGTGAGAAAACAACTTCAGCTGATCACCAGGAAGGAAAATGAGCCTGTGGCCTTCGCTCAGCCTTATTTAGGTTAGTTTTGAAATGTATTTTCACCATCATTATCTTGCAACAATCTCTGCCTGTTTGATGTAACAGTCCGTATCACGCTGGGAAAAAAGAGAAATCAGTGAACTTCCTCCCTTTTGTTTTTTAAATCAACCTGTCTCCAGTCTCAACAGTACTTCCTCGTACTCAAACTGAACTGGCACTACTCCCACTGAGCTCGTCCTCAGTGATCAGTGACATTATATAACCCCTTATAAGAATGAACCCTCCTTGTCTTTCCATCCTCTCATTATCTGAAGGTGTTGAATGGCAAAAAGAGAGGCACTGGATTGACGGATGGCTGACTGGGATGGTGTCCCCTCTCACCCAGTCCTCTCACACTCTCACTGTTGGAGGTTAGGAGGGTGGGAGGAGGTTGAGGGAGGAGGAGGAGGAGGGTGAGGGAGGAGAGGTGAAGCGGGTGTAATTCCAGGGTTCAGGTTTCACTCTGCGGCCATTGCGGGAGGAGGGACGGGCGAGAGAAGGTGGGGATTGTGGGAACTGTGCAAGGATAAAGAGAAGAGAGGGAGTCCTGTGGTTTGTCTGATCACTCCCGAATGCATCTTTCGCTTTCTTGTTATCCCCGTCTCAGTCTGATGATTTAATCCTCAGCCTCCTCCTCCTCCTCCTCCTCCTCCTCGTCTTCAACTATTATGGAGAGGAAGAGGACAACAGGACAGGGACTGCAGAGATGATTGGAGGCTTCACACGGCACACCATGAGAAATGTAATTAAAAACTCCCAGTTAATTGGCTTTTTCCATGATAAAGCACAATCTTCTCATACATAAGTGAGAGCCTCTCATGGCCACAGGCCTGCCCTATAGAGAAGCAAACACAGAGCTCATACATTCCCTTTGTTGTGGGCATTTTTCAGAGATAATCATCTTAAGTTTAATCTGAATTTCTGATTATGCCACCGCTGCCAGAAAACTGCACTATGTCTATAAAGACCATAAAGAGGTCGAGCTGTTGGCATTTCATTGTTATGTTTGAAAATGATGCAGGTGAATGCTCTTTTTATGTGCAGCTGAATCTGTTTTTTTTACACCATATTATGACTTAAAACGTGGAGGTTGTGTCTGGAGTGGTTCTCCTCCTGATGGGAGTTTCCCAGTTGTTGGTGGTGGAGTACCACAAGGTTCTGTCCTGGGTCCCAGTCTGTTTTCCTTGTATATGTTTCCCCTTGGACAGATAATAAGTGCATTTAAATACATGGTATTCAGTTGTCCACTACACATAAATGACCAAAAAAATTAGATGGTGCCTAATTTCTTACAAGTCTTCTACAGCACAGACAAACTCATTGCTTCACCTGATCTAATTCTTATTCATTATACAGATTATAAAATGTTAATTGAGTCTACCACGGACTGTACCTATAACTAGAATTAGATCTGTGTGAAGTGTAAATTTTTAAGGTTGACTCGGCCTTCATCCCACATTGTTGTGCTAAATGTATCTATTATCAATCTGATGCCCTTGTTTTCACTGTTCCATCTTTTATGTGCATGTTTGTAAGTTAAAGATTGTCTTATTTTTTGCTTGTATTGTCTTTATAAAAAGGGCGCCTGTGCAAAATATAGTAAACTGCTCTCGTTAAAGGAATGAATGAATGAAAACACAACAGACAAAATTACAACATTTCTTTATCAGTAAGTTGATAACGACGATAATGATATTTGTTGTATAATATTGTTGCTGGCTGTAGCTACCATTGAGGACACTGAGTTAATCACCTCTGTCATTTAGGGGTTTTAGTAACCTTGAGGGAGTTTACATTTTTTTGTATTTAATTTCAGATTCAGTATTTCAGAGTTTTGTCCCTTAAAGTGTGGAGATGACTGTGAAAAACATCTTGGTCTTCATGTATAGATGCCAGAATTCAAATGAATCAGTATTTCTAACATCTTGGCTATGGCCTCGAGGATATGGACAAACAGATTGCTGCATTCAGTGTTTTTTCTTTTTATTCACAAACAACCCAATAAGTTCAGAAAACAGAATCATTTAACAGTAATGAAGCCCTTTAGATGCTGGAAGCACAACATTTAAACTGTGTCACAATGGTACAATAACCAAAATCCCAGATGCTTTTCCTTACATCAATACATTGTCCTATTATAGCAAGTGAAGAGTGTTTAGAAAAAGTGTGTTTAGCATATTAAAGTTGTGTGTGCGTGTGTGTGTGTGTGTGTGTGTGTGTGTGTGTGTGTGTGTGTGTGTGTGTGTGTGTGTATGTATGTGTGTGTCTGTCCTGCAGCGACCTCTCCCAACTTCCAGACCAACAAAAGCTTCTCTGTGGAGCTGAGACACAACTATTAGATCTCAAAGTCCACATAACTTCCGCCCAGGGGCAGTCACTGGTCAGAAAACACACTCATAGCCTCACTCTCCTATTGGCAGACGCTATAAACTCTTCATGTTGTGATTGGCTGGTTTCAGTGCTGACATTGGGCTGTGCAGGGTTTGACAGCAGCTCAGAGAGGTGTGGACTGCTGGAAGACAAAGGGCACTCGGGGACGTGGAAAAGATATCCACTTGCTGTAGGGGCTACTGTGCTGTGTTCTGCAGTGTATCACCTTACCTTACATAATTGGGTCCATACGAGCACCAAATGGCGCTCGCTGTGGCGCCCAACAGAAAGGGAGGGCAGAGTTTACCAGAGGGAGAGACGGAGGATGTTACTTGTCACCTGTACTGTCCTCCCTCCTTGTTTTTTTTCTGTCTCTGTGGAGAGAAACGGACAAACTGACTCATCTGGGTCCGAGGGGCTTCTGTCTTCACTTCCTCCTTATTCTCTATAACACAATGGTAATTGGTAGGAGTGGGCGTGTGTGCATCTGGTGCAATAACTCCCCCCCCCCCACCACCATCAAACCCCACTCCTCCTCTTCATCTACCCAGCCCCCACCCTGTTGAAAGCTCATTAAAAGACCTGCTGTTAATGAGCTAGAGGGATCATAGAACATCATTTTCATTGGGGGTGGGGTTAAGGCCAGAGATGCTGGTGCAGAGGTTTTTATGCCCTTAAAATGGAGTCAGCAATTATCCCAACCCCTTGACACTCCCCACCCACCCCACTCTGCCTCCTAACATGCCCACAAACAATAACCCAACTGCCCCCCCCTTCCTTAATTTTGTATCCTGAGAAACCCTTGTCGCCCATGTCCCATCACAGCTCGCTGCACTCATCCCACAACCTGCAGGATGACTGACACCAGCTCAAATATATCTACATAAACACATAAAAGTACACACACTCACATACACACCATACTGGAATTACATTACACTGTTTCTAGACAAAGCCAGAAACATCACAAGGATGTAAACAAGGAGTGAGGGTCCCTATCCAAACACTCACATTAAAAATTAATAACTCAGCGCTGACTGTGGTCCTCAGAGAAACGACCCACACTGACTAAGATAGCATCCTGGTGAGAAAAGATACTTTAAAATAGTTTCAAAAGCTTTGTTGTGGGTACCAGAATAAGAACAAAAAAAAAAAAGATAAAACATGTATGAAAAGACACGGGTGGGTGGGAAAAAAAAACACATATACAAAATGTTTCACCTCAATTCTTTATTGAGGCTCCTCAATTACAAAATGGTGTCGAGTTTACAAAGACAGCGGATCGGTATAGCTTCACAATAGCCAGTGTTCAGCGTAAAGGAGACGATGCTAGGAAAAGTGGAGGCAGTTAATATTAATAATAATAATAATAATAATAACAATAATAAGTAGAGCAACAGCAAGAATGTCAATCTATGTACAAAATATTATCCCTGAACAGTTACACTGCACTCATTCATGATCATTTATTACACAACACACATTTGTTTTCCCTGACATGAATGCAAGTAGAAGTCAGATATGGTAACACAGTAGTCACGACAGAGATGGCAGCACTCTACTTGACAACTTTGTCCTGTATCTTTGTTAAATGAACAGATTTTTTCTCGTGCTCGAGTTGTATTTCTGAACTTAAATCCTCATTGTTGACACATGACGACCCTTCAGAAGCACGACACGACAATTACGACCAGCCGAGTCATGCTGTGGACACAAGATCACAGGACAGAGGTCAAGTAGAGGCGTCACCTGAGGATGTTTTCCCAATATATTTACAGACAAAAACATTCACATACACACACACACACACACACACACACACACACACACACACACACACACACAAACTCACTCACCCAAGTGCTCGCTTCCCACAAAACTCCACCAATCAACTAGCTACTCCTGCACCCTCTCAACCTCATAGTTCAGCAGTGGAACAGACTTTTTCACAACCACCAACATGCAACATTCATAAATTAGGAATAATTCAAACACAAGCAACAAAGAAAAAGAAAAAAAAAAGAACAGTTTCAGATGGCTGGAGAACATGCACAGGCTTCAAGCAGTCCGGCACTTTACAAATGTAAACAGTGAAAGAGAGAAATTACCATCACAATAAGTACAAATAGAGAAAAATAATACACACCCGTTTCACATGTAGGTAAAATTGCAGTTTTTTTATGCATAGAAACTAATCATGAAAAAAAAACATCAGTAGAAGAAACTTGAAAGTCTCCTTATTCACATTTATAAAATTAGAACAAAAAAAAAAAAAAAAAATCCATACATATGGTCACAAAGTCAAGAGCACAACCTTGCCAGGCCCTGTGAGCCCTGTAAACATTATGTTAAGTGACAACTGTTGTGACAACCAAGCGCCTTTAAAAAGAGGAGTCTGAGAAACTGCAGGCAGACCAGTGTTTGGATTTATTTCACCCCTGTGTCTGTTCAAACATCTTTAGTCTTTAAAAGGTCTTCTCAAAACCAGCAACAGCTAGGTAGCACTATATGACCTCTCTCCATCTGCTGATGCTGAAAATATATTAACATCATTCTATTGCTATGCTTTTTAAAAAAAAAAAAAAAAAAAAAAAAAATCAATATAATCCCTTCTCTATATTATCTGACAGTTAATATCTGTCTCCACTGGTCCAGTGGGTCACCAGAGAGATAAATCACTCGTCTTTTGCATCCTGCACTGCAACATGGTGATCAGTTTCCTGTGTCGGTGTGGACTGTGGCGGGTTCACTTCCTGTTCAAGAGCTCTGGTAATCTCCCTGTTGAATGTCATGGCCTTGTTTTTGCTCTGTGGTCTAAAGAACTGTAGGCACTTAGTTTCAACCAGCAGCTTTGCATACAATCATGAACAACGTGGCTGATGGCTGCCTTCGTGCTGGCAGAGAGGACAGGGACTGCCTACTGATTTCTAGAGTCTTCTTTAAACTAGATTCCAGTTTTTACTTGACTGTCAGTTCAATGATGGGTTTATTTTAATTTGAATGAGGGGGTTAAATCCTATACAGTGCTATTTTAATGTCAATTAGTGAATGAGAACAGCTCTCATGGCGCAGAAGTCAAAGCTAAGCTCACTTCTGCGTTGCTCTCAGGTGGGCGATCACCCACTATGGCTGGACTCCGGATGTTCTCCACATACTCCACTTGGCTTTGCCCCTCCTCCACCTCCATGCTTTTCACCACATCGCTCTGAATTCTGCTCTCCATTTCTATCTGATCCAAACTGGCTTCGTCCTCCTCAATTTTCACCACCACTGCTTCTTCTTCAGCTTTTATAGCAGCCAAAGTGTCTGCAGCGCTGGCCTGTGCGTAGGCTCCTACGCTGGCGTGGCTCAGGCCGTGAACTTTCTTCAGGTGTTTCTCCAGAGTGGCGTAGACGGTGAAGGGCACTGCGCACAGCTGGCACAGAAAGGAAGCCTTTGCTCCCTGGGCACCGTGGGTCTTCATGTGACGTGTTAACTTTGAACTCTGAGCGCAGGCATAGTTGCAGAGGCCACAGCGGTAGGGTCGCTCACCTGTGTGGCTGCGGCGGTGCACAGTCAGGTTGCTGCTGTTTCTGAATTGTTTACCACAGAACTCACAGGCTTCGTCTTTCTTCTTCTTGCCAGCTGAACCGGTGGTAGTACTGCTGTTGTTGCTTCCTCCGCTGCTGACACCTCCTCCTACACCCCTACGCTCATTCTCTCTCTGCCACTCATGCACAACCTCGCTGACTTTGGCCGTGCTCCACTCTTTCTCCCTCTCTATGATCTCTCCTCTTTCATTCTCCCACTCTCCAACGCCTCGCACTCTGTCCCCCAGCTCTGGCCGTTTGGGTGTGCAGTTGCCACTGGCGATGCCGCTTTCACCACTGCCCCCTGTCTCACCGCTCTCCAGTGAGCCTTCGGAGGGGCTGGCGCATGGTGAGGTGTGCTGAGGCTCCCCCTGCCCCTCTGCCTCCTCCTCCCCTCCTTCTCCTCCCTCCCTCTGGCGTTGGTACAGCCTCAGCAGCTCCCTGTCTGACTGTCTAACCTGCGAGGTCAGCAGCATCAGGCCCATGGGGTGTTTGGGCAGGGTTAGGTCTAGCTCGGAGGGGCCCTGGGCTCTCACATCTGCACCCACCGTTCCCTTTCCCATTATTCCAGCTGACTGCATTTGAAACCTCCCTCTCATCCCCTGCCTCCCCACATCCTCCTCCATCACGACCATCTCCACCGACTCATATCCACTTCCTCCACCTCCAGCCACTCTGTGATGGCTCCTTATGTGACGGGCCAGCTGGCCGCTCTGGGCGAAGGCCTGCCCACACACTCCACAGTGATAGGGCCTCTCGCAGGCGTGAGTCCGGCGGTGGGCGGACAGGGCACGCAGGGACTGGAAGCTCTGGTCACATGGCTCGCAGTGGAAGTCAGTCTGGAGGGCGCTTGTCTGAGGAAAGGGAGAAGCTGCCGGTGGAGAAGAGGATGGAGACAGCACCAGGCCTCCAGGTGAGCTGCCGGTGGCACCGTTATTCCCCTCGGCGAGCTCCCTGAGCCGCACTGAGAAGTTCAGAGCCTGCAGGTTACTGGAAGAAGAGGTGGTGTGTGTCTGACGGGAGCGGGTGAGGCGCAGGGTGGAGGGCTGAAAGGCAGAGGCGAGAGCTTGGCTCAGGTGGCGAGGGTCCAGAGTGGCTGCAGCAGGCTTGTGCTCTGTAAGTCCTCCTCTTCCTCCTTCTCCTCCTCCCCTAATGTCATCCTCCTCGTCCTCTTGATAGATGCTGAAGGAGTGTGTGTGCTGAGCATGCTGCAAGAGCGCCCATGCAGATGGAAACACGCCTTCACACTGCTGGCAGGTGAAATAGGAGGGCTCCTCCGGTGCTGGAAAACAAAGACGGACAAAACTGAGTTACCAAGTAAATATAACAGAGCATAAAAAGGGAAATAATAAATACATAGAAATTAAACCAGCAATAACACAAGTTGATATAGCAAACAGTTTCCGTTTTACACATCCAGCAGATATGATACATACAATATTCAGCTTTTGGTTTTACGTTCAGCAGCTACACGCTAACTATGTCTGTTCAGTGGGTTTTTAAAGCTGTTTTGCCGATAACATCTGCCTGCTACGGCCTAAAACAACGCAATGACAGAGGTCTGAACTATGCAAAGACAGAGGTTACTGTAAAGTTGTGGTCAAAGAATCAAAACAATGAGTTAAAAGACCTCCGTAGAGCTGAGGTGAACTGAAGAGTTGAATGACAGTTATCTGTGGTTTCATCACTACTACAAATGACCTCTTTCACATGCAAGTAGTCGAGTGATAAAAATATTGATTATAGCACCTTTCAAGACATAAAAGCAAGATAAATATGGACTCCAATGCATGAAATCTCTCTGCATGTATGTATGCATCTGCATCTATCTTCTCGCATGCATGTAAGGTGAAGTGAAGAGTCAGGTAAAGTAGGACCCAAAGCAGAATAGAGAAATGGTGCTCCAGAAGGTCAACAGAGATGCGAGCCATGTCACAAAGTACATCTGGAGATATTTTTATATGTGGATAGCTTTGTCTCCTAACCGAGAGCCACTCTCCAATTAAGCTGCAAATTGCTAATTAGCAGAACGTAGAAAACGAACGCTTTATGCAAATGAGGCACTGACTCAGCCTGCTTGACAAATGAGGCCTTTCTGCATAAATCAAAATTGGAGAGAAGATCCCCAAATTGAGGGGAAAACAGTTCTTTTTTTTTCTTTTTTGGAGAGGTTCAAAGCCGACTCTGGTATAAGCCTCTTTCATGTTTCCTCAAGTCAAATCCTTCTGTATTTTACTGGAGGGGGGGAGGAGAGTGAAGATGAAAAAGAGAGCAACTGTTTCTTTCTCTTTTTCCCCCTTTCTCCCACCCTCCCTCTGTCTGGAGACGAGAGGAGCTGTGGTGTTCATGTCCTTTAACCTAGCCTAAGGAGAAACCCAGGAGAAGTTGAGATACTTCTTTTAAAAATAGGGTGAAGAGTGAGAGCAGTAAAAAAAGAGGAGAGGGAGAGAGAGAGAGATAGGTAGGTCAGGGCTCAGGAGATAAAAAGAAAATGAGATAAAAAGATTATAATGTAGTACGGGGGGCCAAGAGACACCACGAAAATATGTCACCCCCTTTGGATTGTACTTGAGACCCATCCTCCAACCCCGACTCTCCTCACCCCTCCACCTCCCCAAAACCTTCCAAATCTTTCCCTGAGGAGGGCGGCTGGGGGGGCTTTTGTCTCGGGGTCCTGGAGTGAAACACAATACCCAGCCGGTTTCTCTTTCCTTCCCTCTCTCCCCTCTCACTCCTCGCTTTTTTTTTTTTGTAAGGATTCCCATTTGGCCCGGGGTAGCACTTGAATATTAAGCAGAAGCAATAACTACTAATTAAAAATGCAGATTGGCTGGGAGCACTAACGAGCAGCAGGCAGAATCTCTTTTCCCTTGGGAGGCAGAGGGAGGAGAAAAGAGAGGAGGAGGTGGTGGTGGGGGGGCGAGAAATTGAAAGAGGGCAAAGCGAAAGTGTGTTGAAGATGGGGGGAAGAAATGAGAAGGAGAGAAGGGGGGGTGTTGGAGATGAGGAAAAAAACAAACAAGGAGAATAAATAAAAAGGAATGAGACAGATGCACGCGGCTCTTCAGTAATCCATCCCACTCCCTTTTCTACCCCCTTTTCTCCTCCGTCCTCGCCGCCTCTCTCTTGAACACAGAAAATAGATGGAGGGCCTTTCTGTTGTGGGATAACTGCTCTTTCACTTTCAGTCATCTCAGAAGCTTCAGTTTCCCTCCCACAAAACGCCACTCAAGTAAAACGAGACTTCCTATTACTCACATGGCTGCAGGATGCCCAATTAAAACCGTTTAACATGCATCGAACTTTATGTTACAAACTATAAAATCAGAGGAGATAAAAACACTAAAAGCTGGGTAAAATTACAATTATGAACTCCAAACAAATGCAACCTACATTTTCTAATAAAACTTTAATCCAAACTTATCTACTTTTTCATTATTTACAAGCCAACGTGCTCTTTCCCCCTCACCACACGCACGTGTTAGGTTTGTTGTATAATCCTGCGGGCACCAAATTACCAAACTGCCGTGTTCTCTGACTATAAGTGAGAGACAGCGCAAGAGATGAAAAACAGACTGAAATAGAAAAACAAGAGAGGTTGTGGACAAACGGAAACAGTGTATACACCAGTCCCCTGAGCGTTACACAGAGGAAGGAACTGCTAACGTGTGTGTACATGACAGAGAGAGTTTCAAAATATGCAAAGGGGTATTCACACCTACTATGAGTGTGTAGCAAGATGCTCAGTCCATCTGCAATCATCTGCAGCATCCTATAGCCTATATGCCTTTTTCCCTTGTGTGACCTTCAAATACGTCTGACCTTTGCAGCAAAGTAACAATAACTCCCCCTCCATCTCAAACACATTGGTAACCACTGGAAAGGAAAATTCTTCAAAAAAAAAAAAAGAAAAGGATTTTAATGAGAATTCATGAATTTTCTGATTGACCTCCACCGTGACATATTATATTTGGCACCACCATCATGGTCAGCAGTAAAGGCGTGAAGAAAAAGACCTTTAGGAAAATCTGTGCTAATGTGTGATGCAGAATCAGAAGAGAGGGATGGCTTAAGACAGAAAATAGTATGAAAACAAGCCGGAAGAGGGGGAGAAGAAGAAAAAGGAAGGAGATTCCCAGGAGCTCAGGTGGCTCGGCCTGGGGCAGAACAGTGGGAGATGGCAGAGGAGCTGCACATGATGCAATGTCCTCCATTACGGTGTCATGACAGCGAGGAGAGCTGCCTCGCATCCACTCCTCTGACCATTTCAAACTGTAGTGCAACAACCATCACAGCCCTCTCCAACAAGAAACAGGACGGCCTTATCAGCACAGAAACATGCTCCTGTGCTGTTTTTTTTTTTAGAGGACGTGGTTTCAGTCTCAGTTGTCCAGGGTGTAGTGGGTGACAGGGAGGGAGAAACATGTTTACCTGGCCATTCCACCTCAGAGACTGACAGTCAGGGAGAAGGGAAGGAGCTCTGGAGCTCAGTTGCTGAGTGTGGAGCCCTCAGGGACCCTCGGTGCCCTCTGAACGCTCCTGACGCCTATCCTTTCCAGACAATTAGCCTGTGCGTCACTAACTCACGCAGGTCTGCTAATGGCAACGGCTAGCTAATGAGCTGGACTTGAGAGGAGGGGTGAAGGGTGGATGGGGGGGGGGGCAGTTGTTAAATGAAGTGAAGGCGGTTGAAAAAAAAAAAAATTAAACAAAACAAAAAACAGAGTCACTAATTAGCAACCTGCCATCTTTTTGCACGTCTTCGTCCTCACTCACCTGCTTTGCTGTTCCCCGCCTTCATGCCGGACTCCTCCCCCCAGGCTCTGTCCCTGGCCGCCCCTCTCCTCAGCTCGATGAAGCCCGGCCCCAGCTCGGTGTTGACGACGCGCTGCTGTGCTTGGTTGGCAGGTGATGGGGGAGTGGCGTTGGCGTTTGGGGCTTGGCTTAGGGAGCGGCAGCCGCCCTGTTTGTGCTGGATGAAGGCCAGGATGTGGGCCAGGGGGAAGGCCCGGCTGCACTGGCCACAGGTCAGGAGGTCACGACCCTCGTCTGGAGCTCGGACCTGCGGAGGAGCAGGAGGAGGCTGGTCGTCTGATGGGCCATTCGCCATGTCAGTGACATCTGAGAAACAGATGGAAGGAAAGTTCAGTCATTAACAGATAGCACTTAAGAGACATGAGGCCAACACAGATAGTTCATTACACAGAGATTTAAACACTGTGGCCCCTTAATACTGATAAACAAAAATCAGGAAGAATGCCATTAATAAAGCTGCAAAGGTTAGTTGATTGATCAGTTAGTTGATCGACTGAAAATGTATCTTTAAAAGTACGTTTTCAAGCAGAAATTCACTGGTTCCAGCTTCTCAAATGTCTAAATAAATAATCTGGTTCTCTTAGACAGTAAAGTGGATATCTTTGGGGTCTGGACACACTTTTCTAATATTTTATAGACCAAACAATAAAATAATCAGTAGACAAATTGATACAATCCTATTTCCTCCAATGTTGTTCATCCTCGTCATCCATAGTAGACCATAGAGATATAAATAGTATCTGTGACATTAAACACCTCATTTTCTACCAAAACGTGCTGATCCACACATCCTCATGCTAATTTGGATATCTGCTTAGGGAGGGGTCTTTTTGACTCAAAGTGGCACAAATGCTGTTAGACCTCAGTGGAACAACAAACAGCCGTGTTGATTGAAAGTGCTAGTTTCAGTTGTAGGCTGTAAAAGCAACGAGGCCAATCTGCTCAGCCAATACTGACCACTTCCTTTAACCAACCCAAAACAGATCCGCTTGCTCTGCCTGAGGCTGCAGCTGGGTGCAAAGAGAGAGAGAGAGAGAGAGAGAGAGAGAGAGAGAGAGAGAGCCCAACTCTCCACCTCAGCAGGAGCATCAACGATCCCCCACCTCACAATTAATGTGACAATCACCATGTGTGCTGACATGTTTTAATTATTGATTTAAAAAAAAAAAAAAAAAAACACAACAGCTTTCAGCTTTCACTCACAGTCACAACTTGCCCTACCAACCCACAGGCAGCGGGAGTTTCTCAACAGGAAGTGGATTGCAATAAAAGAAAAAAAAAAGTGACTGAAGGTGTTTGAGATAAGAGCAGCCCCAGTGTGTGTGTGTGTGTGTGTGTGTGTGTGTGTGTGTGTGTGTGTGTGTGTGTGTGTGTTTGTTTGTGTGTGTGTTTGTGTGTGTACAGTACAATTCATCTGATTTAACCCTCACAACAATCTTCTGTGCAAACACACAGGAGCACTGAGAAGTGTTGTTGAAGCAGTGGACACAAGAGGACCAAACCTTTTTTCTTAAGAAAGTCTCCCAGGTAGAGCTCTTTAGGGAGGAGGGAGGGAGGGGAGGAGGGAGGAGGAGGGGGGTCAGTAAGACTATTGCTCAACGCGGTCATGGGCACACCTTGATGCCTCCACTGGATCCACCTGCCCGGGCTAGGCCGGCTAACATACAGGACAGGTACAGACAGTACAGTCTGAAGTCGGATCTCGCCAGTTGTTTCTGAAAAATGTCACCTTTCCTGTTTCAGGGCTGCGCTGTTTGTGCAGACTTGCAAGGCGCGGTCACACACACACACACACACACACACACACACACACACACACACACACACACACACACACACACACACACACACCCCCCCACACACACACACAGACAGGATTGAGTCAGGGCCTGTGGTCACACCAGACACGCACCACTGGTCTCCAGTAGAGAACTGTAAAAAAAACTAATGGTGTTGAAGTTTCTCTCTTATTTCCCTTCAAGCATCACATGTTTCTTTGTGAGTTGCATCTTTATGTTTGAACAATGTGGATGGGATGAAGTGGACAGTCTGAATGGGGTCTATTCTATTCTATTTTATTTAATTTTACTGACATTATTTAATTGTCCAGACATTAAAAAACACAAAAAACAAACAACCTATATCATTATATGGAGCAGGGTGGAGACAGTGTCTTGTGTCCCAGAAACAGTGGAGGGAAACTGTCTCAGAGACCGACCAAGAAACTTGATCATCGTCTAACCTGGAAATATTAATCATCGTGTTCGGACCTGTAGCCTCTGAAAACAGCGTGCCAATAAACCGGTCCTTCCTCTATGAACACAACTGCTGCAACAGTGCACGCCAGGACAAACATGACATGAAAATGATGATCCCTTATTTAAATATTTGCCTATAAAGTCCGCACAAGGGATTAAAATACATCCACATTGGCATTAGCACATCGGCAGAAGCACATATAGTTTAAATCCTCCTGGAAAGTCTTAATAGCACATTTCCAAAGCATTTAAAAACACAATTAAAAATAAGCACACATCCATCCATCATTTGATTAAATGGTGCCAGCGCGCATCCGAGCCGTGCGCGCTGGCAACAACTGTGTGACCTGAATTTTATTTGTGTATATTTCAGCCTACAAACAACAACATCAACCATCCGTACCCGACAGTTTCAACGTGGCCCCACACATCGCTGCTCCCTCCGGCTTACCTTGAATTGCACTCAGGTGCTGCGGTCTGCTTCCAAGTTTGCGTCTGGACATCGCGTCGAGCGCTCCGCGTTTGGCACCTCTTTTCTGGGTCCCAAACAGCAACAAAACAAACCCAAAAAGAAATGAAAAAAAGCCCCCCAAAAAAACCCAAACACACACAATCCAAAACCAGCTGCTCCTTCTCCGATAAGTTGACCGAAACCCGAGCGGCGGGGGACGGACTGATAAGACTGGCTGGCCTCTGCCTGGACTCGCACTGAGCAGTGAAGGCTGCGTTCAAGTTCACACTTCTTCCCCCGGCAGCGAGCGGAGGGCAAAAGGGGGCATGGGCGAAGGTAGGTACCGCCCGCCCCGCTCCGACGACCCTGACCCCGCCCTCTTCGGGTAACACACTCCGTAAACACGCTCTCCTATTACTTTAAAGCTTTAACTCACTCTTCTTCTGGGTTTTAAACCAGTGTTTCAATCAAGAATTTCACATCCGATAGTGGAAATCAACATTTAGTTCCTCCTCAGCAGCTCTGAGGAACTACCTTCTTTGGTTTTCCACAGGTGTCTCCAAAACCAAACTGGAACCAGGAGAGGTGGGGGAGGGAGACACTCATTTCTGCTTTTCTTCTTGAGCAGCTGTGACTGATATAGAGCCATGAAGACATAGCAAATACTCGGAAAATGCTTCAAAAGTTACACAATGACAGTGAAGTGACAAGAAGCCGCAGTGAAGCATCTCTCGCTGGAAAATTTGAGATTTGTCGCCACCTCCTGGCAGATATAACATCCTGCAACCTCTCAAAGACATTACATCACAATAATGTCTTCATTACGTTTTTGTGACCAATAATTGATAAAAAAAAATATATTTAAAGTAATACTAATAATAATACATTTATTTTATATAGCCTAGCGCTTTAAAATGTACTCAAATGCACTTTAAATGGCAACAAAAAGCCAAAAAGTAAAAGTAAAAAACAACTATAAACACTAAACACAGTATAAAAAAAAACAAGTGGAGCAATAAAAGATTACAGTATTAAAAGTAGATTTAAATAGATGGGAATGAGAGAGGATGTCTGAGGTGTTGGGGGAGACTGATCCAGAGGGAGGTGCCCCCCCCCCCCCATGTCCCAGTGCTTGGACCAGGTGAGAGGGATGAGGAGGTAGTGGACCTGTGGTTGCTGGTAGGAGGTGGGTGAGGTTGTGGAGGAGAAACATGAACTGTATTCTTTGTTGAATGAGGAGTCAGTGGAGGTTTTGGGTGATGTGATCTCTGGTGTGGGAGTGGGTGAGCAGACGGGCAGGTATGCAGCCCAAAATGCAAAACCAGACACCTTCAGCGACACAGTGATTCAAGACAGAAAAAATACGAAAACGAAGAAATAATTTCAGAGATATTTATTTGTTGTTCTGCATTTTAACATTCCACATTACTGAGAACCAAAAGAAGTTTATTTGCTGCTGTTGAACCAGTTGACGGAGGACAGAGTATAAAAAGAGCAGTGGAGAGTTTGAGTTTATACATGAACTTGTATCCGCTTTCATAAAGAAGTTTCCAATGTATAAGTATAAATATCCTGTACACCCAGTTCATGAAAGTGGTTTAAAATGTCTCCTCAGCGTGAGCGTCGGAGAAAAGTAAAAGGCAGATGGAGAGCGTAATGACACGAGGAAGGTGTGAGGTAAAAAGGTGAGATATTGCTTAGTAGTAAGGACACAAACGAACATCTCCGGACGAGTTCAGGCAGAGGAGGGTAACAAAAAGAGCATGCAGAAGAAACCAGGAACTCATTGAATAAACCTGCAGTCTCTTTACAAGATGAAGAAGAAATTAAAAAAAGTTTAGATCAAACCAATCGGCTTTGTAATTAGTGAAACTAAAAGTATCACAGTCAAAATGTTACGTTGTGTAGACAGAACATAGTGTTCAGGTGGAGATTAGTGAGTTGGGTTCATCAACCATCAGTTAGTCCATCTCTTCATATTTCCATTTAAGTTCTTTTGCACAGTATGTGTGACAAAGTACTGGAGTACTGTAGGATCCATGTTTTCCAGAGCTCAGTATCGGTAGTATGGACTCCGTGACCGAGACCGCGACCTCCTGGAAGAAATAAAAAAAAAATCATCAGTATCGAGGTGAGAGTCACACAATCTGACCTCGTAAAGAAAATGTGCAAGTGTGTTTCTCTTAAAGGCCTCATCAGTTCATTTTAGAGCTTTCAACTAACTTACAGATGAAAAAGATACAAATTAAAAAGATCATAATTGAGTTTTTAAGTATTTGGTGGCTTCATTAAACATCAATAACTTAAGACTGAGTTGTGTGGTTGAAAGAGCCGTCCACACCAAGAACAACAACAAGGTGAGCATCCACAATGATGAATGATAAGTAAACAGTGGCCTCAAGCGTTTGTGCTTCGTGCTCCAGCTGCGTCAGCGGCTTAGGAAACTGTATTGATCACCTGTTACTGCTGTTTGTTGCACAGAGAAAGAAAAAGAAAACCAGGGTTCACAAAGTTCTTCAACGAAGTTAAATTGTTCCGTTAAGAGAGTTTAATCTTTTAAAACACATTTTATTCTTATGTTGGTAAAAAAAAAAAAAAAAAAGGTAGTAAAAAGTAGACCAAACTTCACACTAAAGATTTCTCAGGTTAAATTATTATTGCAATTTGTAGCCTAATATCACGTTAGCGTTTAATAAGTTGTAAACCACAATACTGTTAGTCATTCTGAAAGTGATCCCACATATATCATTCACCACTGTCGCCGACGTTAGCTGCGGTGAGGACCCCGCCAAACACGTTTATATCTATACTAACTGTTCTTGGTGTGGACGGCCATTCACTCTGTGTGTTAAAGATCTGTCCGTTAGGGAGAAATAGCAGCTCGCAATCCTGCTGTTCATATTTTGGTAGTTTGGCAACTCTTTTGTTTGTATGTGAATAACAGATTGTACCTTTAAATCATACTTAAAACAACAACAACAAGAAGAATGGACGACTATAGTCAAGACTTTAACTTATTTTTGTTTAAACTGAAGGCTAAAAGCTTCTAGATAAACCTTTGGATCAATATATTGGTTAATTTTAGCATCTTGCTGATATATTGGTCTGTATGTTGGGCAGCGCAGAAAAGACAAAGACATGTTTGACAAGGTTTCTGCAGTAGTCAACAGGTTCAATTTAAAGACTTTTAAAGACCATTACGAGCGCAATTGAAGACAGATTTTACGACCATACTGGCAAAACCAGAACAAAGGAAATGAAAAACACATTTAAAAGAGAGACTGGAAAATGCAACTTTATACAAGTAACGTTTAATCTATCCTGTCAAAATAATATTTAACACATTTTAAACAGGCCTAAAATTCAGATTATTGGATGTTGGTGGACTTTTTAAGACCCTGTAGACACTGCGGTTTGAGGGAACTATATCTGCACTAGTTTGTTCACAGACAAATATTATTTAACTCATTTAAATTAATTTAGTACGTATCTAAAAAGAAGCAATTCTTGTAATCCTGCTTCAACCAGGAGGCGATACACCGATGTCTCCCTTTTTAAACACTCGAATATTGACACTGGGCTCCCCTTCAGCCTCAAACAACAGACTAATGAATGTAATGAACTTTTTTTATCATTGGGAAAAATGAATAATGTTGAAACTGTACTGGATTTTTTTTTACTCTGACTTGAATCTCCCACTTGGATCCAACTTTTCTCTCAAGATTTGACACACTGGTTTGATAGTTGAGTGAAGTAAAAGTATTGCATATTAAAAAAAAAAAAAAAGGCCTTTGAGATAGTGTTTGTGCATTAATGTGAACAAATCCCCACAATTCAATCGTCTTCATCGGAGCTGTGCTGACTCTTGTGGCTTCTCGCATACCTTCTGTGTGAGCTGTGCTCTCGGCCTGAGGGACAGAGGACAGAGAGCACGCGATCAAAACAATAGCATGCCAGAGCGTCTTAAAGTCTATGAAACTGTCAGACAGCAGCAAATCAGACTGATTAAATATTTTGGTTACTTGTGTTTGAGTATGCAAACCAAATTATTATTTTATTAGATCCATATGGCCATTTGTGATCAGGAACTTTAAGTCTTACCATATTTGGAAGGAGAAGGAGAGTGGCTCTGTCGCCCGTATTGTCTTTCCCATTCATCCCTCTCTTTCTCACGTCTTTCACGCTCCCTAAACGCAGAGCCTCTGGGTCAGACAATTGCGACATGCAAATACCAACAGTCCACTTACAAACACACACACACACACACACACACGATTCTTACTTCATGCGTATTTTGCGTGCCATGGCTCGTAGTTCTCCCTCTCGCTCCTATAAAACAACCACATTGTAATGAGGGGAGATGCAAGATAACAAGAGTATCTGTTTCTGTTTGTTAAAAAAAAAAAACACACCTGTCGTTTGTGTTCCTGCTGCTGGATCTTCACCTGAGCTGCTCTTTTATCCGCCTTGGCTACACCACGGGACAAAAAACAAACAATAAGTCTTATTCCCTTTGTAATTTGCATATGTGACTACATTTCAACACGTTCACAACTCAGATTCTTGCCGTTTCTTAACCACAAAACCACCGCTCAGTTGTACTCACACTGCTTGTTGAGCGCCTTCTGCATTCGTAGCTTCAGCTTCTCCTGTGGGGTCATCTTGGGCTGCAGGTGACACATTTGTGTTAGCACATTGTTTCACGGACTGACAAAAGTGTGAGTGTGTGTGTTTGAGATCAAAAGGCACCGTGCTGTTAAACAAGTTCAGTACTATCACCTTTATGTACAGTAGCTGGTAGTGATAAAAAAAGGCCACAGATTAATTAAACGTGATGTTTGTTGAGTCAACAATCACACGAGAATCTTACGCGTGTGTGTGTGTGTGTGTGTGGACAGACGCAAACCGCTGCTGTAGGAGAGTTTAGAAGCAGGATCCAGTTATTTGAACCTTTACATAATATAATTATATGTGCGATCACTGTCAGAGAGATAAAAAGGAGCAGGCCAGCAGGAGGAGGAGAAGAAAGTGTCGGAAGGTGAAACAAGTGCAAGTTCAGGTCCGGTGAGTTCAGAAAGTTTAGAGAGAGCCAGTGGCATTTTGTCAGGGACACACCCATCACTGGGCTGTTTCAACCTGGCCAGGCAAGAAAAACTGCAGGTCACAACACTGCAGGCAAGTTTAACAGAGAAGCAGATAATAACTTCCACTTCTATTTGCCTGTTTGAGGATATTCAAATCTTTCCTTCTGTGCTAGGAAATGCAGTGAAAAGAATCCGTTTCAGGACAGCAAACAGTCCATAATGTTGGAATAAAACAAATACATGTAATTTAGTCTTTAAAAAGGTATAGTTTGACATTTTGTGAAATATGTTTATTCACTTTCATGCAGGATGAAATGAGAAGATTTATACCTTCACCATCTGTACGCTACACATGAGGCTACCAGGAGGAGCTGGTTAGTTTAAATGCCATTAAGACTGGAAACAAAGAGTTTCAGTTCTGTGCAGATAAATTATAAAAGTGTTATTTAGTGAGCTTTAGGAGGTGCTAGTAGGTGGATTCTGTAACCTTCAGACAGAGCCAGGCTACCTGTTTCCGCTGTTTACAGTCTCTGCACTAAGCTTACCAACTGCTCTCAGTAGCTTCATATTTCGTGTACAGACATGAGAGTTGTATAAATCTTCTCGTCTGACTCTCCAAGACAGGAAACGCGTATTTCCCCAAAATGTCCAACTACTCCTTTAACTCTCGTCTCAAGACTTCAAATCAGTACGTGGGACATAAAGCATTTCATTTAAGAGTAGGAGTGTGCTCTGCTGCTTGTTAAAACAAGCCCAGGTAGAGTTGTCCAGAGAACACCCAATGTTGTTTTTCCATAGAAGATTAATCAAACGTCTTGTGTCACATTAAATGACCAACACTGAGTCATGTTGTAACAAGACACAGTAGCAAAATAAGTCATCATCTTGTCGTTAAAGGCCATTGATATATGATATAGTGCTGAGACTACAAACAGATATAAAGACGCTGCACTCTCTCATACACATGTATATGTATACATGCATGCACAACCCAGACTAAAAGCACAATCAACACAATGATGAGTTCACAGGGTGCCTAAATGTTCAGCCATACAGAGATGGCAGCGTTAATTCAGTCGGCCATTTTTTTTTCAGTGTAGGCAAGTTCACATTCTTCTCAGCAAAACACTGAGAAGGTGAAGAATGCTGTAACAATTGCAAAACAGAGCACAGGGCTTTGACTGCAGTGCATGTCCACTTTGTGGGGGGAAAAAAACAAAAAAAAAAAAACAAAAAACAAAAAAAAATCACATCATTTCATTTTCTGTGGGCAACAATGGCTTCTACATCCCAGTCTGGTGGACAACCATGTCAGCCTGTCAGGGATGAGGGAGGCGTAGGCTTTAGCAAGAAACCCAGCTAGATCAAATTCTTACTGACTTTGGCAGCTCCCGTCTCTTTACCACCCGGAGTATCAGGCCTGGAGAGGGGAAGAAAACAAAGACGATTAGCTAGGGGTGAAGAAGACATCTTAATTTATTAAAAACATACTTGATGGTCCAGTTGTAGCACAGGTTGAAAGCTGCAGTAGGTAACTTTTATAGAAATGTCTGAGTCGATTGTTGACTCTCATTCCCAGGTCCCAAAGCATTAGTACTCGGTGACTCTGGAATGACACTCAACAAGTCAGGTATGTTTCTCAGCTCTGATTGGTTGTGTTCGTTGAGTCAAAGAGGATTCTTGAAAGTGCTATTAGGAAAACTAGGCAGAGCCAGAGAAATATTTTTCTGTACTAGGGGTGTAACGATTCACAAAATCCACGGTTTGGTTCAGACCTCAATTTTTGAGCCGTTTTTCCCCGTTTCCCCATTTTGCAGAGAAACAGAGAGAGAGAGAGAGATGTTATCTGATATTACATTAAGCGGATACGGCAGAAATCTTACATTACGGAGCGTCAGTGAACACACCACTGCAGATGTCACTAACTAATGTTAGTTTCGGTTTGAGAACTGAATCACGGGTGAGTTTATGAACCGTACTGTTGATGGAGAAAGTCAGCAGAGACACACACAGGGAGAGAGAGACAGAAAGAGGCGGAGCAAGCGGGTGTGTTTGCTGTGAGTGACCAGAGGTCCAGGCTAGGTGTGTGTGCTGTGTGTGAGTGTGGGGAGAAGAGAAAGGGAGAAGATTAAAGTAGTAAATAAACACTAAAATAAGGTGGAAAATGACCTAGAATAACCTACTGTCAATACAAATACGATATAGGCGTACACCGCTACCACCCCACGGGCTGCCGCCACCGCCGCAGTTACACTGTCTTTACGAGAGCTCAACAGTCCAGGGAGCGCGTGTGTCGCGGTTCTGTCTCTCGGATCCGTGACACGAGACCGTGGACTTTAGTGTCGCGATTTTGGTCTCGGTTTCAGAACTGTTACAGCCCTACTCTGTACTCCTCTCAGGAGTTTTAGTAAATATGACAAAGAACAAAACAATTTCTCTAAAAAAGGTAGCTGCAGCTTCAATCTTCTTCAGTTGTCGTCAAACTGTCAAACACTGTGCCTAGAAGACGGTCTTTGTTTAGCAACAGTTTTCCCACGCAGGCATGCTATACAATTAGGAGCAATGCATCCCCCGCTACTGCCTCTCTTCAGGAGTTAAAAGATATTTCTTTATATCACAGACAGTGTTTCAGTAGAGATTTATCTACAGGGTCCACATGTTCTCACTTTCTTAGCTTGTCACAGATGGTGGTGGACGAGGGCTGGGCTCCTCTGTGAGCAGGGGAGGGACTGTGGTTAGCGCGACTGGAGGACTGCGATGGACTGCGGCTGACACTGTCTCCCCGCCGGTGGCCTCCACTGCTCCGACCTCCTCGCCTCATACTGGCCCCCTGCCGTGAGCTGGAACGGGACCTGACAGAGTACAAAAAGAGAAGCTCGGGTCACTGCTGCGTGTGTTGGAAATCAACAGCTGTTGGGAGATGTCGGGGAGTCTTACCTCGTTCGTCTGCGTGCCGAGTATCGTCTCCTGTCCCGGTCCCTGTCCCTGTCTCGGTCCCTGTCTCGCCCTCTGTCTCGGTCGTTTGACCGCGATCGTGTCCGGTCACGTCTCCTCCAGGGTCCAGCTCCTCCATTCCCTCCTCTGGCCCGGGAGTGAGATCTGGAGCGTCGCCTCGACCGCGATCTGGTCCGGGATCGCCGGCCATCCCTTCCCCCCCGTCCACGTCGGGCGCGGCGTGAACGGGAAGAAGAGCGAGAAGAGGAACGAGAGGAGGAGCGCGAGGAGGAGGAAGGGGAGCGACTGGAAGATGACCTTCGTCTCCTGAACAAACAGAGATGCGTCGTTTTAGTAACAATACCAGCCCAGCACCTAGCCTATCTTCAGAATACGTCTGTTTTCTTGTTTAAGAAATCTTACTGTGTAAAGAAATAATCAAATATTAAAAATTCATGTATTTGCTCTGCTCATTGCACTGCCATATTCTGACATGCACAATCATAAACTAGTAAATGTGCGCTTAAATGCTTAAAAACTATCTAATCACAAACACTTTCTCTACGCACACATGCAGAGTGGAACAGACTAAAAACTGCAATCCACCTCACCTACCACAAAAATCAGTATTTCATCGTCAGTATTCTTTCTGCCTCAACAGCTGTGGTCATTTCAACAGACAACACATTGACTGTAAGAGGAAAACAACCAATGAAAAGCCAGGAAGAGGGAAAGTTACCGACCGGGAGCCCCTGCTATGACCTGCAGGGTGCTGCAAGTTGGAGGGGGCGTGGCCAGAGTGAGGAGCGGCTGTTTGTGTTGCTGCTGCTGCTGCTGCTGCAGCTTCCTCATCGCTGCCTCCAAAGCTGGTGATGAAGGTGATCTTCTCCGGACCGGGTGATCGAGAGCGTGACCGCGACTCAGAGCTGGACTCTGACTCTGGCCTGAGAGCGAGATTAGAAAATAAAGTTCAAACACACTTACAGACACAACAAATCAGGACATTCAGAAGCAAAAAAAAAAAAGGACAAACTCACCGTTTATAGGGATCGTATGTTGGGCTGTCTCTCCTGGCGTAGCTGAAATAGAGGAGGATGAAGACTTAAGTTTGACATGTTCTGAGGTAAGTGGACAAGTAATGAGGAAAACAACTCTATAAAAAGGACAACATAAAATGTACCTTGGTGGGCTGATCTGTCTTCCTTTTAGCCTCTTCTCTCTGAACTCTCTCCTCTGTCTGCGAGAACGCCGGCCCTGAGATGATCAAACATGTCACTTAAAAAATGTCAAATAGGACAATAGCTAGGAAACAAACTGCTCAGTGGATGTTGTCTTACAGAGTACATGGCCTTCTCCGCCTCCAGAGCCTTGGCATGTTTGATGGCCTCCACTTCCTCCTTGTCTTTCCTCAACATCCTGGTAATAGACAGGTATCATGTTAACAGCCTTACAACTATAAACACAATCATTATGTCAACAGTGTAAAATGTTTATCCGTAACTGCTTATGAAAGATTTAAACACAAAGAGCTGTTTAAAGTCTTAACACACACAATAGTCATACACTTGATTACGGGTGAAATATTCCTTCACTCCTGCATAAATGTCAAGTAAAGTTTATTCTTCTCAGCTCATCAATCTAGCGAAACAGTGTAAACATGAAACTACATCCACGAGCATCTGCAAGACTGCAAACTACTTGCCAGAGCCCATAAATAAATTCACTGACACCCACAAGTGTCACACAACTGTCTGAAACTGTACTTTCAACGGTCCTAGACTGAACAACCATTGTCATTCAACATAATAAATACAGTTTAATAACTTTGTTTACGTAACTACAGCTGCACTTATATCTGAATAAACGATTTAAGGTCACCCTAGGTGCTCAGCCACAGACAGTGTTCATTATTATTTTAGTCACTGGCTGAGTTTTTTATTTCTAACTGTTGACTGATCAATAAAAGCCTCACAAACCACAAATGCAAACCTGTTTCTGATTGGTATACAGTGATGGGAACTTATAAGCTCACTTTTAATACATTTTTATCATTTAGCCAAATAATCACAAATTCACTACGGGGACATCATATGTTTGAAGTTTATCTACAAAAGGAGGGAGAACAGCAGAAAAACTATTCAAGTATTCTTAAGCACAAACAAACTATAACCCTAAACCTCGTGTTGGGAATTAATTTCTCACATTTTCCCTGATTGTCTAAATAATTATATTATATATATTTGGTAGTTGCTTTTTAGAAATAAAGTCACTGAAAAGGTCTGAAAGTCGAAATCTAGCAAGAATGCCTCAGACAACTCTCTCTGTGACTGATTTTGTGAGTGTAGGTGTGATTGTTCATGATAGAAGTTCATATTCTAACTATACCAATCTTTTAGGACATTTTAGGTCACTCACCTCTCAATTTTCTAAAATATTTGTAAGACAAGAACTTAAGAGAAGCATAGCACATTAGGGAGCCATTAGGTCCATGTATTTTTGTTTTAGCTCTACATCTGACCTTTGAGTCATGAAGATATAACCAGAGATGTTTACCTAACGAAGTCTCCTTCAGCCATTCCATACGGGGTTGCCATTTTGTTTAAGTCCAACACCTGCTCCTGGTTCAACTCATCGACATCAACCTCCACATCTTTACAGAGACAACATGAAACAAAGCTTTTAAACAACAAAAGAAAAGTTGTGTTGATCTAATAATAATTTCTACATATATTGAGTCAGATATGATTCCGTTTCCTTTCAAATAAGGAAGATAATGTGTAAATTTCATTAGTGCAAACCCGTCTCCTCACCAATATCTGGGATGCCTTCATCCTCTTCGGATTCACTGTTCTCTGAGTCGTCTTCATCTTTGTCTGACTGGGGGTCCGGCTCTGTCACAGTGCTGTCTTCATAAGTGTAACCAATGGTCGCCTTTTTTTCAGCCAGTCTGCACAATGGGAGGAAGGATTTATAAACACATGCCCAACTTAAATGCTCTGGTGAGCAAACAAACTCAAAGAATCGTGGATTTCAATGCACAGCGAGGATGAAACCACCACTTTAATAAATGACATATACTTTTTCTTCTCGTCCTCATTTGGTTTCTGCAGGCCACCGTACAGCTCATCCAGGTAGATCTGGTATAAACACTGCTCTTCGGAGACTGCGGAAGGACAGCAGGGAGTTTAAGAGCCAAACACAACTGCAAAATATACCCACTGAGGGCAGGTTAACAGACTATTATAGTCACATTGAGAACACCTGTGCAGCACTCTGCGTGCGGGTAATGTATTAAGAATAGCATGACAGTTAATGTAATGTGTTACTCCTACTGCTGATGTAGCTTCTGAAAGTCAAATGAAATTCAACTTTTTCTTTAAAGAACATCAGCTATGAAGTTTGTGATACTCACTGTTGGCAAAGTCATTCTGCACCAGGCCTCTGTAGCGCTCATAATTGCACTTCCTCTCCTCCATCTCCTGCTCTGGGGTGCTGTGTGAGACAAAAAGGTAAGAAAGGGTTGTTTTTAACCACCTCACTGAACACTCAGATCTCACCACACTGTGGAGTTATGACTCTGAAGATGTATAGAAGAGGAAACTAAAAAGATAAATCACTTAATGACACACAGTAAGAACCAGAACAACCAGTGTTTCTGATGCACCAGTACAAGTGTAGAGTAGGAAGACTATGAGTTGAAGTATAGCACAACACAGAGGAGTTAAAACATTAAAAAGTTAGGTTTTACAAATTATTTATGAGGTAGGGAATGCATTCAACAATTTTAGGAGACTTAATAAATTATGTTGCGAAACACTGAACACAGGTAAAACCATGATTTAAACAATGAGAACTTCACAGTATGTAAATGATTGTTTGCATATTATGCAACACAGATTACATCTGATGCACTTCAAGACGTCAAAAAGTTCCTTTCTCAGTTTTACATCTACTATAAAATCAAGCTCAAGCTTATATTATGCACTATTAGTTCTTTATTTATTTATTTATTTGTTTGGGATGCACCGAATATTCGGCCACCGAAATAATTTTATCACCGAAACAACACGGCCGAAACAGAAAGTTGTGATGACGCAAACAAAAACCGCAGCCAGCACGCGCTTGTCTGGATAAGCGCCAACATGTCTGCAGTGTGGACGTATTTCAATATATCTCAGTCCCTCCAGAAAAACGCAATTATACGATCGCATAATTCAATGCATAATCAGCCAAAGTCGGCATATTTATGCAGGGGCCACATTTTTTCAAATACGCCGCACTTTCGCCGCATAAATTGCAGATTTCTGCGCAAAATACGCAGGGCTTGCATGATTTCATAATCCCCGCATTTTGCCCGCAACAATCACAAAAGAACTCGGCGTTTTTCTGGAAGGACTGATATCTGAGAAAGACCCACGGATAGCGATTTGCAAAACGTGTAGAAAGTTTTCCAGTGATGGTGCCAAGGCAAAGGGCATTACACAAAAAATTATGGAACTCATTGCCTTAGCTGATCAGCCATTCTCTGTCGTGGGATTAATATTTTCATACTTTTGTAATTGTAATAATTTCTTTCGGTGTTTCGGTTTTCGGCCTTGGTTTCCTCATTTTCAGTTTTCGGTTTCGGCCAAGAATTTTTTATATATGTTTAATGTGTTGATTGTATCAGGATGAAAACAACTGAATGAACAAACTAATCAAAACAAAACCAAAATCTCTCTTAAAACATAATTTATATTAAGGTACTTTGTTGTATTCATGACTTTTGCTCTCGTTTAGTGTCTCAAAAGTCAACATTTAATAATATGTGAAACTCCACAACTGCATACAATCATAAGGAATTATAGATCATAAAATATTCACACCAGCAAGGGGTTAAATGTGACATTTGTTAACTTTAAGACTTACGATGTGCTGAGCAGTGGAGGTGTGTAGGTTGGGATGTAGTCCAGGTGAGCCCTCACATCAAACCGGTCAATCATGTTGTTGGCATCTCCCTGCCATGGCATCCTTTTGACAAAAGGAGAGAGAGAGAAATATAATCTGATCAGCAAGATCCCACAAGCACTGTGAATCTGGTGTGTGTGAGGTTCAGTGTGAGTGTGTGTGTGTGTGTGTGTGTGTGTGTGTGTGTGTGTCTCCTCACATGTTGATGGGGCTCTCTGCAGCCAGAGCCACAGCAGGATCCAGATGGATCTTGTAGGCTCGGCCATGAACCTGGAGAAACTGAGCTGGATCTTTTTTCTGTTTGAGACGAAACAAGAGGAAGTCAAGAGAAAATAAAATTACATCTTGTAACTGACACAATTATTAAAAAAAAACTAAATAGTGAAATACATGATACTGTGCAGCCCTTTCACTCCACAATTCAAGGCTATGTGCATACTGCTACTTTAAAGTGAGGCTGAACTGAGCTCACAAATCTCTTCTTCATTGTTTAAAATGCTGCTGCAAGTCTGACAGTTCGCTGTATTCATCTGTCATCTCAGGTCTAAATTAGACTCCTTTGGCTCGAACAGGAGGAATCTCAGCCTACTTAAACCTCAAACTGGTGCCTCAACGGACAAAACAACTGAGGCAGAATCTGGAAAGATCAGATCTGGAGCACAAAGTTATAGTAAGAGCTTTTAATTAAGTGCAGCAGCTAACTTTTGTGACAGAAGAACACGCAGTGGTGATGTAGGCCTGGACACAGTTATTGGTTTCTATCATAGGACGGACAAGTTCTGGGCTTTATGTTAACGTTTAGCCGATGCAATATTGTCACAGCATGTATAAATATATGTCATAATCACTGCATCTTTACAACACTTTGAACCAAGAAGATCGGATTTAACAAGCTGACAAAGTCTCTTACGATCTTCTCGTAGTATTCTCGCCGGCGCTCGCCTCGGCGTTTGTAATCCACCATCATGCCACGGAGCTTGCGCTCATGTTTGCGGGCCTCCTGCCACATGACGGCTCCGCTGGGGGTGGGGGCGCGGCGGGGCACGGCTGCTGTAGAGGCAAAGAGGGAAGACACATCATTTCTGTGTTATAAGTATTTTAAAACACAAGTCCTCTACTATTTCCACACCAAAAACACAAATGAAGTCAATAAATCTGAGAGCACAATGCGAAGGCTCTGCCCTGTATTCACCGGTCTGAATAGTGACTCTCAATCTTAACTGTCTATAGTATTAATATTAATTATGGTACTAAATATTTCACTTGTTTTATTAATATTGTGGATCACTGAGCAATACTTGAAAATGAAACTAACCCACTGATGTCTTGTACAAATAAAGTCTAGTTTAATTATCTTTAAACTAGATAACTTCATGTGCTTTTTCCCCCTTTTGTCACAGACATGTAAATATTGTATTAATATAAACTGAGAGCTTTTAGTTATGTTTGTTAATTTCTGTACAATAAATGTATAATTTGTCCCACGGGTGACCAATAAAGAAACATATAAACCTATTCATATATAAATTAATGCTTATAGTCACTCAGGTCTCTTATTTAAGCTCGACTGCAGCAAATAGTGTTTAATGTGGCAGAAGAAAGTGACATTCAAACTAAACAAAATATAAATATAAAGACATATTTCTGCACATTACCTCCTATACTTTGAGTTTTCTACATTTTCCATTTACTATCTTGGTTTGAGGGTGTATTATATACCCAGTGTGTGCCTCTGTGTGCTGTATAGTGTTAGATAACTACATATTATCACAGGCATCATTTGTTTGTTTAGTAGCTCCACGTTGTATTAGCAGCTAGAGGGCTAACCGAGCTAGCCACCAAACACTAAACCACAGCACCGGTTATCAACTGCACACATTTTAGTTCATCTTCTAACATTTGCGCCTCCCTCCTATTTATTTCAGGCCGATTAAGATGCATAAAAGCGCTGTCTTCAAAGTTACGCAGGAGTTTGTTAGCGGACACATCGGCCCGGGCCTAGCATCACAGCTAGCACACGTTAGCTTAGCCTAGCTAGTGTACAAAAACAGGAACAACGAAGAGTATCACAGCCTCATTAAAACCAACTGAACGCGAAATAAAGCTGCACAACGTCCTCGGTGTCCTGTTAAACGCGACTGTGTACCTGTTTTCTGGATCACCAACACACACTGGGTTTGTTTTCGGCCGGCTGAAGACGATGTTAGCGGGTTAGCTGTCACACGCCTCCTTCCTCCCTTTACTGCCGTTGGAGCGCTGCAGTACCGAGGTCGGCCTGCGGGGAGAGGGGGGCGCTGTAACACCTCTCACACACAGGATATAATCATTAGATACACAGAAAAGATAAGATAGTATTATTATATTTTAAATAATATTATGTAAAAATTCTCTCTTTTGAGTCTGAAATAAAGTTTGAATAATAAAGTTTAATACAATAGAAACATGTGAAGGCTTTTACTGTTGTGTCCCATTTGCCTGTGACTTTATAAATACACTTAGTAACACAATATTGTTACTAAACAATGAATAATTGTGTAATAATAATAATAAATAGCTCTTTAATTACTTAATATTTTGGTTATGTTGACTCACGCCAGCGTTCTTTAAAAAACGGCACTGAAGCCAATAAAAGCTTGACAAAACAATGTAAAAGTTATTCTTGATGTTAGAAATAGTTTGACAAAACATTTCCAACTAAGGATCCACTTGAGTGACGTAGAGTTTGTTAAAAATGTGGATAAACTGTAATAAAATTGTGCTGATGAAATGAAAGCTGGAAGAAAAGCTATAAAATAGATCTTGAGTTGTAATTGTTTTTCAGACTACTTTTTCCAAGGTCAGGCGTGAACTTCATAACTTATTAAAGCTGCTAATACAATTTATTTTTGTTTTTATAGGCAGTTTAATTTAGATTTCCAGCAGTAAGTTCACAGTTTACAGCATTTAGGCTTATGTGAACCCTGATTTCTGATGGTGTTTGATGGTTTTTATCACAAGGATTTGGTTTAGTTAAGTTTTATCTTCTTACTTTGTTGAGATTTGTACATCTAATAAGTTCATGTGTACATATTATACATGGATCTGGATGATTATATTATATTTGATGGTAATATTAATAACAGTTAGTAGTTTTAACGTTTGTTTACCTGTTGTGGCCACAAGATGTCCCTGTAAGACAGCAGGAGATGGTCACAACCTTCCACCTTACTTTTGACATTATGGTGAAACGAAGTAAACTTGAATGAAAAAACTATCTCAAAACTGTGTTTTATGAAGAATAATATCAGATGAATTAACATAAATGATCCTACAAACAGGGTGTCATTAGAAAGGTCTATTTTATGTGCAATGGGAAATTTGATCCCCACTTCAGTTTTATTTGTATAGTGCCAAATCAGAACAGAAGATATCTCAGGGCACTTTTAATATAGTGCATGTCTAGACTGTGCTCCTTATAAAATTACAGTGATAAATGAATCATTGCTTAAACCACAGATTGTTTCTAGTACAACCCAGTGGCTGTCAGGAGAGTCAGGGACAGAGACCAGAGAGTTTGTTTTCAAGCTTCTGTCTGTTTCAAAGAGGAACTGAACAAGTAGCCTCTGTGAGTCCAACCTTGACCTCAGGTCATGGCGTCAAAGCTGAAGGGAATGAACTGGCAGGTATGCATCGCCAACACCCGGGACCTGATAACAGGTAAACAGGTATCAATATAAAACATGTTTACTAGGTGATTGGAGAGGATGAAAACTTTCTAATTTGCAGGCTGGCGTCTGACGTCCTGGGGCAGCACAGCAGGTGTAGAGAGGGTCCTATACATTCAGTACTGTGTGTGTGTGTGTGTGTGTGTGTGTGTGTGTGTGTGTGTGTGTGTGTGTGTGTAAACTCTATTTCCTACATTTCCTTCTGACCAGGGTGGTGACAGGAAGCCTGTGGTCATTTCCAGTCTGCCGCTGTTAACACAGGCCAAAGGTCACATTTGTCACATCCATTTGCCACATTACCTGACCCCTGCAGTCACTTTACTTTGCCCCGACACACAGACCCCTTCCTTTCACACACTTTCACAGATGAATGTTGTGTTTCATATGTCAGCTCTCTAGGTTTTTGTTATACCTGAAGTATTAGAAACTCTAAGTTAATAATTAAAATGAATTTACAGTCTGCTAAAGAGTTACAGGAAGGTATTAAAACAAGTTTTGACTGGCAGCGATTTTCCTCAAATGCCGACTGCTCTCCAAACTTTCTATAAGCTTTACCAACTTTCCAACAACAGACACGTTTCTCACAACCACACTGTATTTTCCTGGCACTGTCAGCTTCATTGTTCACAAAAGTGTGTCAGAGAAAGAGAAACAGAGAGAGAGAGCGAGAGACAGAGAGAGAGAGAGAGAGACAGAGAAAGAGAGAGACCTTGTGCATAGTGACCCACTGACCTAGTCATAGTGGCTGTAAGCCATGTGCTCCATCATAAAATATCCTTCCTCGGGCCTCCGACAACAGTATGATCGAGACAACTTGTCAAAGCATCGGAAAAGAGCCCAACACAAAGATTATAGGAGAGTTTGGGATTTAGTGGCATCTACTGGTGAAGGTGCAGATTGCAACCATTTGAATACAGCTCAGCCTTTCAAGCGAGGAAACTACAGTGGCCATGAATCTCGTGAAAAACACAAAAGGCCCAATCTAGAGCCAGAGTTTGGTTTGTTTGCTCTGGGCTACTGTAGAAACATGGCAGTTCAACATGGAAGAGGAACACAATTATTCAGATTTTAGGTAATTATACACTAAAGATATTATTATTATGTTATGTTATGTCTTAATAGGTTGTATACATTGTTTTTAAAGAGGGATTGGTCTGGTCACATTGGACTGTGACACTGAGAAAAGCCCTAATAAATATAAAAAATGAGAACTTTAAAAGATTACATATTCCTTGTTGCTTCCTCATGACATATGATATCAATAAAAAAGCTTGTCACAGCACCCCAAAGGCTGTTGTGCACATATAAAACGGGTGAGAAGCTCTTTACTCTCTCATGTAAAGGCCATAATTAATAACGTGCGTGGCAGCGCTGACACCTCCCTCTAGCGCCGACTGTAAGACCTGTGGTCTCAAACCGCTGGTGATTAACGATTACAGGCAATAAAAAATAAAATAGAGTTGGTAAATGCACTTTTATTACAATCCACATGTGCTGGTTGCTTCAAATGGAAAGCGAAATGGGACAAACAGAGCAAAGTAATACAGTGATACTTTCAGACCAAACCACAGTACAAAAAGGGCATCAATATGTACAATATATCCATGTACAAAAAAGCTATTTTACACGCAGGTATGAAAAAATCATACATCTTTGACAAACTGTAGTATTACAGAGACAATACAGGCAACAGTGTATAGGTTTAAAACAGTTTTTGAAAAGGCTTTAAAGCCTTTGGAGCAGGAGTACGCACTCTCTTTGACAAGTATTTAAACTTTGTTTTCTTTTCCTAAAGTAAACCGACTCTGTCCCTCCTTTTTTCTCACATACACTCATAATATACATTCTCTATTTCACTCGCGCACACACACACACACACACACACACACACACACTTACATACAACCAGACACAGAAACACACCGAGTGTTAAATAAGCATCCATTCATTAATCTCTCTGTCTGTCTGTTAGAGTTCAGTCTGAAACAGAAATGGAGGTCTGGACACCGATCAGATGGCATCGTCGACCAGGAAACAGGTCGAGAGGCTCCTATGCAGGTTGATCCTTCTTTCTCCTCTTGACAGTGTCTCAGGCACTCGAGTCTCCATTTATTTTTTTTTAAAAATAACAAAACCCCCCCACCCCCCCCCCCTCAACGTTTTCAAACTAAGGTCAAAAACGACACAACATTAAACTTGACCTTCTCCTACCCTTCCCCTCAGGTGTCTGCTGATAGCTATCTGAGCACATAAAGGTCATGGGCCCATTTTCATGACTGTAACAGTGACACAGTGCAAGAAACTGGGAACAGGTCCCTGTGAGTGAAAGAGTGCGAAGACCGCAAAATAAAATTTAAAGGAAATTTAAAGAGGCGCCAAAAGTTCAAAGGTCAGGCCTCCAGTTCTTGGTTGTCTGTGTAGTGGAAGCGGTTCAACTTCTCCCTCTCCCGGTTGGAAATGTCCAGTTTGGGGGCGTGGGCCGGCTTTAGTGCTGGAGAGGGGTGTGAGGGTGCTGGGGAGGGCGGCAGGGTCAGTTCAATCTCCTCGTAGCAACGTGAGACGGGGGTCGGGGCTGGAGGGTGGGCGAGCGGGGCAGCTGGGGGCAGGAGGGGCACGGGACGGTCCACGTTTCTGATGAGGTTGACGAACTCCCTCTGGTTGTTGATGCCTTCTTCCTGTGGGACAGCCTGCTGCTTTTTCCGCTTTCGATGGAGGTGTGAAAGGATGAAGGCGCAGGCCCCACAGCCACAGACCATAACTAAAGCTAAGACCCCCACCAGGATAATGTAGAAGCTGATCCCCCCGTGTGTCGTGTTAGACATGGCACCTGCGGACACGGAGGCAGCAAGGTTAGTCGTGACTTATAGAGATTTTGTACTTTTTAAGACACACAGACACAAGTTTTAATTACCTGGACAGTTTTGACCAATGCAGGGATTTTTGAGGCTCATGCACTCGTTACCATAGTAACCCTCAGGGCAGGCACACATGTATCTGCCCTCTGTGCTGTGACAGGGTGCCCCCTGCTGGCAGGGGTTGGGATTGCACAAATCCAACGCTATCTGAAATAAAGAAATAAAGAAGAAACCAATAAAAAAAGAGTAAGAGAGACTTGTAATCTACTAATAAATTACCCTATGTAGGTTTCTAGCAGTTAAACTAGCCTTTCTGTGGCTAATTGTAGCATTGTTAGTATACTAATCCTGGTAACCAATTCAAATAAATATGAGACATCTGGCCCCAATGTTTATTAACTCTCTCTCTATTTCTTTTTTAAGTATATTTTTTGGGGGGCACTTTATTGCCTTTAATTGATAGAGTTGCCGAAGGTAGACAGGAAATGGGGGCAGAGAGAGAGGGGATGACACGCAGCAAAGGGCCACAGGTCAGACTCGAACCCTGGGCCGCTGCAGCAAGGACTCAGCCTCGGTACATGAGTCGCCAGCTCTACCCACTGAGCTAACTGGGCGCCCTTAAATATACAAGTCCCTCTCTTTGGAACAGCTTAAATCATATACACAGTAATGTAAACCACTTCAAGTCTTTAATTTTCTACTAATATTTATTTTTCTCATTATACTTGATTGAGCAGATGGATAAGAACTGCACACATCCAGTTTTATAATTGTGTGTCTTTTACTATGATGTTTTCATTCTGCAAACTAAGCTAGACTTAAAGGTCCAGTGTGCAGGATTTAGTGGCATCTAGCTGTGTAGTTTGCCAGTCCGTCATTTCACGGCCCATGATACGTGAGGAAACCACAAAACGCAGTTTTTGGTTTGTCCATTCTGGGCTACTCTAGAAACATGGTGGTTCAACATAGCAAGCTCAACAGCTCTGTGGAAGGCGACCTGTGGCGTCTCATTCTAAGGTACGGTAAATAGACTGGTACCTATATTCAGTCTATTATACACTACTGCAAACATACCTCTGAATATTATAGTCCATTAATGCCAATAGATCCTCATAAATGTAACATACTCGACCTTTAAGCTAATAACATCTATGACGGTTGTCTCACCTCACAGAAGATTCCTGAATATCCCATGGGACAGTTACATGTGATGGTCCTTCCCTCCTTCTCCACACACTGTCCTCCATGCAGACAGGGGGTGCTGTCACAGGGACTCGGACCATTTTGGCAATATTTTCCCAAGAAACCAGGTGGACACAAGCATCTGGACCCTGACACCTGGTCCTATGTGGGACAGTATATAGTGTTTGTTATTTATATGTATGTAAAACAGAGACAGCAACGCTCATATGAAGTGGGGAAAAAGGAAACTAGGGAGAGAAAGGGGATGCCCGTCATGAATTTGCTGCTGGCAATGAAACATTTGCCCCTTTGAAAATAAATACTGCTCAGATCTTGAGGCAAAACAATGTCAGAAAGAGGTATTTATTCCTAGAAGAAAGCTGGAAAGGCCTTGAGCATTAACACAAGTACAGTGTTTCCAAATGATTCACTTTTTAAAACTTAGTTGTGATTGAATTTTTAACTTTAAGGAACAAATAAAGGAAATATAATAAGAAGACTACAGCGAATATGAGCAAGTGAGAGGGAGACAGTGAGGCTGGTCAGTGTTGTGACTGATATGCAGAGACAACAGTCAAATTAGACAGAGACAGAAGGGCAGGAGTCAGGAGTCTTACCTCACAACGTCCACCGTTCAGACACAAACCCTGACAGCTGCTGTTCCCTAGAAATCAGAGAAACCTGATATATGAATCTGTTACACAGAGCTCGGACATGTACGCAACTAAGATGCTCTAAAACAAGAATATATAAAGTGAAAAGAAAGAGATAACATCAAAAATGTTCTTATTTGTTAGTGTTTAATATCTGGTGTATTTCAGTGATACGCTGTGACAGATGAATAAAAAGGATCTCCTGGCTGCTGTTCAAACACAATCCACTGAGGCTCTTCATGTTTCACTACCTGCCACAGGACGGATCAATTCTTCCTTCTTTTTATTCCTTTTATACTCACTGATGTCACAGTTAGGCCCCGTCCACCCAGGAAGGCAGTCACACAGGTATCCACCGATCAGGTTGCGACAGGAGCGTGCGTGGATACATATACTCATTTCACACTCGTTGGTGTCTAAAAGGAAAGAAGAAAAAGTTTCTAGAAATACTGATCTGATGATAAACATTTCATCTGTACTGTGTCTGATAGATCTCAACCAGTGATAAACCAAACCACTAACCACTGATACCAGCATCTTATGTCAACAGTTCCTTTAATTCTCCGTGCCTTTGATATTCGACACGCTTCAGGCTCATATAACATAACAAGATAGCGGCTTAAGGTTTTATTCTTTTGTGCAGATTATTGTTACCCAGCACCTGTAAACACTTATGTTTGTGTGTGTGTGTGTGTGTGTGTGTGTGTGTGTGTGTGTGTGTGTGCCTCCTGATGTCCACATACTTTACGTCAGTATTCGGCTCATGGGTATTTGAATCATTTAAATTCATAATTTTAATCCCGGAAATGTATTTTTGTTGTGCTGATACAAAAAGCTTATTAGTCTTTTTTAGGTTGCTGTTTCAGAAGTTATTATGCAGGAAATATGTTAACAGAAAATAAAATGAAAGGACACAAAGGATCAAAGGAAGTCCAATATATGTTAATAAACCAAAACAGTTTTGTTTAAGAACCACAATCATTAAACTTAAACTCACTGAAACATCTTATAAAACTACTGAATCTAACCCTGTATGTCTCCTACTGAGCCCCCGACAATCTTTAGCCACCAGTTAAACCAAAGTTAAATTTAGTTTTGAAGTGGATGCTTGAATTTTAAACTGTGAAGAGGAGAATTGCCTGGCAGCATGACGCACACAACCACTTGACAGAGTGCTTGTCAAATATTATGTTTACAAATGCACCGCACATCCTAAGTAATGCCCTGCAGCCTCTTCTTACATCTTTGTTTATGCACAGATCCCCCTGCTGTACCACTGCTTCTGTTAAGTTTATGTGTGCCTGTTCCCACCCTCTGTCACACTGGGACTGTAAAAGCCAGGAACCCCCGAGGGCTTGGCTCTGATAGCAGAGGAAGAGGATTAGAAAGAAACGCTGAATGAATAAAGGGGAAGTAGTCAGTCAGTTATAGGTAATCTAAACCTGTTACCGTCAGTGAAAGACCTATTAGGATTTAGCACCGGGGGAGTGTATGTGTGTATGTATTTGTGTATGTGTGTGTGTGTGTGTGTGTGTGTGTGTGTGTGTGTGTGTGTGTGTGTGTGTGTGTGTGTGTGTGTGAGGGCGTTATCTATGGGAAAAGCCTGGGGATTCTTCTTCCTTGGTATACCGGAGGAAATGTGGGGACAGAAGTCGGCTAATAAAAGAGTGAAACTGATAGAAAGTATAATTGCCTTTCACCATTTGAGGCACTACTGATGCTCTGCCTCTCGGCTCAGGCTATAAAGAGTTTTATCACTCGTATTTGAACGCTGTGAGTGTGTGTGTGTGAGTGTGTGTGTGTGTGTGTGTGTGTGTTAATACTGTGAGCTACTGACCTGTGATGTGGAACTATGGGGGATTATCAAGTGTCAGAGTGACATATCACTGTAACACAGAGGAGCAGGAGAGGCTGTCATCCTGAAATATGTCTTCAGTTTTTACTTCATAACCCCCCAAGCCTCTGTATGTGTATATAGTAAGTCCTATATATGTGTGTGTGTGTGTGTGTGACCTGATCCTATACAATATTCCCTCTGCTGTACTATCTAACACAACAACCCTCTGGGAGTATACTTGCCAATATGAGCCAATGCAGCCCAAAGAGACGTGACAGTGCATTTAGAGAATACTGATTCACAGTCAGGATGGGTTGATAGGAGAATTAACATGCCGCCGGCTTTTTCTGCCTCTTTAATTTGTGCTTTAAATGCATATTTCAGTTCAAATGGATCACATAATCACATATTGCCCATTGAAACGCACGTTTTAAAGACCAGCTGTGCTTTACAGCTCAGATTGATTTTGCTTGTTAGAGGATCAGTGTTAAAAATCACGTGAAAAGATTCCTTTGAAGATGATAAATATCAGATTTTCTCATTAATAGAAAACTGTATAAACAACTGTAACGATGAAAGATTATCACCATTACAAAGACCCCGGCCTGCTAAACTTCTGAAGCATGGGGTCTTTGCTCTGGTCATCTGTCAAAATGTAATATTTTATTGATTAGTTGTTCAGTACATAGTTCTGAAATTAAATTGATTCTGCCTTTAACTTTTAAAAACCTTATTGCAACATTACTCTGTTTTGCTTTGAAGTTTCTTGCTTTACTTACATAACTAAAATCAATCATCACAGTATCAATAAGGATATATTGACAATATGGCGAATAAGTTTCTCACTCAGAATACATTTTAAAAATCAAATAAATGACACTAATTTAAATCCCAGTAACCGTATGATGTTATTAATATTACAATTATTATGACTATTACCCTTGTATGTATTATGTATTACACTGTGTATATTCTTTGTGTATTTTATGTCTGTTTCTATCATTATTGTATCTTTGAAGTTACTACTGTTTGGTTTTTGACCAATAATAATAATAACAATAATAATTATAAAGAAATATGGACATTTTAGCATCTACCTATAACTGAATGATAATGTGATACAGTAATATTGTCACCATGATTTTGCCTAAATTCAATAAACAATATAACTTAAGATACTGAACTGTTGCCGTACCTTTACCCTTGATTTTGTACTTTTTGCTTCTATTTATTCAGTAGTAAATCATATTCCCACAGTGTTTTGAAATGTGCTGTATCATATATTTTTGCATATTTCAAAACACATATAAGAATGGGCACAACAGGCTATTCAGAGGCAGTGACCCTCATGTATAATACATGTTTAATCGTGACCCACTGACCCAGCTGGCACGTCCTGCCGGTCCATCCAGGCGGGCAGAGGCACCGGTAACCTCCAGGAGCCTCCTGACACGTTGCTCCTCGACCGCAAGGGCTCCGATCACACTGCCTCACCGCTGGGAGAGAGAGAGAGAGAGAGAGAGAGAGAGAGAGAGAGAGAGAGAGAGAAAAAACACTGTGCATGAACTACTGGTCTGCGTAATGGGAATGTGTGTGTGAATATCAAAGATACATTGGAGTAAGGAAGGGTGTACAGTGTGTGTGTGTGTGTGTGTGTGTGTGTGTGTGTGTGTGTGTGTGTGTGTGTGTGTGTGTGTGCGATGCCACCATGTGGACATGCGTGATCTGAACTGCAGCTTTGGTATGCGGATGCTTTAGCAGCCTGTGTTTTCATTCTCTTTTCTGCTGCTCTGGTTTCTGTGCAAACAGTGATAAATATAATCATCGGCTACACGTACATGGCAGACACCTCAAACCTTTTCCCAGAGAGAAGGGAGGAGGGAATTTAAATAAAGGATGATGGGAAAAAGAGGAGAGACACAGGGTAAAATAGAAATAGAAAAAACTGAGCTGCCACGCCTGGTTCCGCTCGTCTGAAAAGGAATTAAAAAACAGATAAAGAAACGTGAGGAAAAAGAGCACAAACAGACAGCGAGACACTCTCGTTTTAGGGGTTAACCATGCATAACTTCCTATTACACATGGCATATTTGTGCAGTAGTGGCATCATAACATTTCCCATGCATGACTCTGTGGTGTACATCTTTTGCTCTGTCTCTCTCATAACCTTTTTTCATTTACCTAACCCTGCAGAACAACCATTTTCCATCCTCCTGACCCCGACTTCAACCCCGAGCAATAATAACCCAAGTAAAGCGACCAGCACTTCTCCCGAAAACTAGACGGAGAATCCATAACAAACAAAGAAGCCTTTAATTAATATCGGTTATATATATAAATCTAGTCTGAAAGCAGAGCTGTGTTGTGGTTATGGTTGTCATTCCCTGCAATCCTGACAATCCTCTCTCTGTGTATTCCCCTGAGAGCCCCCCACAACACATAGAGACAGAGATAGACCGCCTGACTGTTAATCAAGTCTGCAACAAATAACAAGAGCAAAAATAAACAGTTTCTTTATTCATCTGTCTGTCCCTCTCTTCTTATTCTCTCTCTCTCTGTCTGACATAAATGCCTCTTGTTGAAGTGTTTACGTGCCAGTGACCGACCTGCAGTGCTGTTTATCCTGATCGAGGTGAAAGCAGAGGACGTGGAACGCTGCTTGTTTACACATGCAGCTCTGACAGACCATAACCTGTACGATCCAATCTCACCTGTGGCTGCTCACACACAAGCTCAAACCTACTGCATACGCAAGTCTCGCACACAGAGACAGACCACACAGTGAAGCTCAAGACGGACTGTTGTGACAGCACACTTGTTACTTTGCAGCCAAAAGCATGTTTGACCTTTATCAACGCTTCAAATATGTGGAAGTGGGGGATCTCACGAGGTGTGAGGGCTGCTGTAAAACGATGTAACACAGTGTGTACTGGGGATTAAGATTCAGACAGATCCAAATAGTGTGACTCATTCATTCTCTTTAATGATTTTGCTGTGGAAGCTGACTTATTCATACGTGTTAAAGTGCCCTCTTTTATGCCCTCTATAGTACAGTGGCCCAGTGTGCAAGAAAATGTGATTAAGTGCCATATGGGCTGCACTGGAAAATTGGCCTCCATGTACCTCTAAATGGTCACATAATAAAATAAATGACTATTTTAATCTTAAAATCCCCATGGATCTTGTTCTCTACGTCACCAGTAGCTATCTGAAGCAACAATTACTACAAAGTCAGTATCTACTCAAAGGTATTTTAGAGTTTGTCATTTCCTATAAAACAATTAAAAGTCATCCTGCACTCCGGTGCTGATACTAATTTTGCATCCAGTGAAATGCTTTCTCGCTTATGACATGTTTCTGAGGGCTGATGTATTACATACATCTATGTGACAGGCACTTTATAACTTAATCCGCTGATTTTGGTGGAAGTGGATAATATTTTATGGAGAAAATATTTCCCTCCTCCAGTTGCTCAACTTCAACTCTCTCTGATTTAAAGAGTTTCGTGGTGCACAGATAGCTTTTACTACTTGCTAAAGTAGCTAACCGGTAATTAACTGTAATTAACTGTTGCTAACTGTATCTGACATTAGCGGGCAACAGAACAGTACACTTACACCAAGGTCTGGTTCCTGATTGGAAGATTGCTGAGTATCAAACTGATAACCGCCCTTTGTCCACTGGCTCAACCCTGGGATGCTCTGTGGTAAGAACACATCCTCGGTACTGTATGCCTTTCAAACTGGGACTGTCTGTCTCCAAGACTGTCTGATTCGGCCCTCAGTCTGTGTTCACTGACTGGAAGGTACACTATATTTGCTATAGGCTACTGTAAACGCCAACGAATATCCCTTTCTAGCTGCCTGTTACAGGCTATAGGAAACACATGGATGCGGAAGCAAATAGCTCTCTGCTATCTGTTTCATGGGACCTTTAACCACGGTTAGAAACAGTTTCATTATAAATCAACATGACTTTCTTTCACATGCAGCTGGTGCCCTTTTTATTTTTTCACCCCTCAGACATCAGAGCCCACCACTGAAACTTGAAGTGTATGATCCAGAAGCTTGACTCTTACTTTAAAGTAAAATTAAAAGTCAGGATATGTTGCTGCTTCAGTTTGAACCATTCTTTAAGTTTAAGTCAAGCTTCAATTAAAGTATTGTCACTATTAAATGTTTCTCATCCACTCTTATTAAACCCTGTTTATAAACAGAGACCAAGTTCCTTCAGCAGAAATCAGGCTGTGATAACCAAGTTCCTCAGATCTTGTACCATGATTACAGAAACCGTGTTTCTTGTTTACATGACAGTTAAGAAATCAGGTTTCTGCAGAAAGCCGACAGTGACTAAAGTGCATGTGAATAAACAGCGAATCACATGATCTCAAGGTAAAAACTGTGGAATTTCTGTCAGTTAGTTCGTTGTGATGCAGACAAAAAAATTGTTTATTATGTGGTTAAATGCAGGGAAGTGTGCCTGCAATATCTCCATCTCTCTTGGTCCAGATTGCAAAGATTATTACAAACTCTTTGCAATGGCCAACGTTAGACACTCTAGTATTGCATATTTGTAGGAGAAACATCTGGCTACTGTACATCAAACTACAACTGATGAGAACAAAAGCCAACAATAACATGTCAGTCCTGCTGTAAACACAACTGTGTATTGTTTTTAAGTTTAACAGTGGTCTCAATTTTCCTCACAGAGAAAACAAATTCTGATAACATTACATTCATTTGGCTGACACTTTGGCCCAAAACAACTTTTTATTTTTTCCCATGTGCACACATCACGAGGGAACCGGATGTTGTTGCATAAATTCTCACATGTGGGATTAAAGTCTGTGCTGATAGTATTCACTTGTCTGTGTAGTGGTTTGAATCCTCGGGAAGAAGATTCTCGCAACTGCGGTACTTTTGGGTGATTCTTTCCCTTTTTTGTGGACAGCAGCCTGCCTGTACGATTACTAGGAGCATCTGCTTTGTGTTTCCTTACTTTCAGATCTGAGTAGCACTTTCTACACTCTTTCATTGCATGGGGAGCAATTTTAGTGTATTTCCTCATTTTCCTCAATAGTTTAACACACATGGACAAGAGAGGACACTCAACCAACTGAGCCATCTGGATGTAAGACACGTCCAAATAACGCCTACGAGAGTTAAACACTAGACAATAAAACCTTGATTCCGAAAACCGTCATTCACACAGTTTCACCGCTGTTTACATTAAATCAATAGAGATGATCAAACATGCTCCACCTCACCTTTTCTATGCAAAGTTTGTGTGATAATGCACACACACACACACACACACACACACACACACACACACACACACACACACACACAAAAGCCAGACAGAGGGCGAGACTGACCACTGATTGCTACTGATACTGTTTGTGTTCAGGCTAATTCAGCTTCCTCTGTTGGATTGATTAGAGTCACTCACTGGCTTTGATCCAATAACAACCAACCACAGACAAATCTCATGCCGCCCAACCCCTCTGCTCAGAGCTGTGTGTGTGTGCGTGTTTGTGTGTGTGTGTGTGTGTGTGTGTGTGTGTGTGTGTGTGTGTGTGTGTGTGTGTGTGTGTGTGTGTGTGTGTGTGTGTGTGTGTTTGTGGCATTGACAATCACCATCAGAGCAGGTGTGTCCGGTCCAGGCGTCAGTACAGATGCAGCTGAAGCCTGTTAGGTCTTCCACACAGGTGGCTCCATTCTTACACGGGGACGACAAACACGCATGTTCCACTGATGTGAAGACGGAGGCGTGACAGAAGAGAAATAGAAGAACGGACAATAATGAAAGAAGAGGAAGACATTTAAAGGCCCTACACACCCACACTTACAGTTAATATTGTAGTGCACTCTACCTGTCTATAATATAAAATTAAAGGTGGTGCTGGTTGCTTTCTCTCAAAATTAAAAGGATGTTTTTACTTACTTCCTCTCTCTCTGTGCAAACTGTGGGTCAAAATATGAACTACTACTATATAATACTAATAAGTTATATAAAAACATCATCGTATGAAATCAGCCAAAGAACAAATCTACAATGCTCTTGTACAGATTTACCGTGTATATTGTTTCCAGTGTGTCACATCTATATAGTAACATTTCTCAATTTACATTTGTAATCTGCTGTATCCAAATACAGTCTTTAAATAAGCTTTTTTTCAGTGGTTCAGTGAAGCCGCACTCACCAATGTCACAGTTGCGTCCTCTGAAACCTTCCTGGCACTCACACTGGTACTCATTTGGCTCTGTGTTGGTGCAGGTCCCACCGTTCTTACAGGGCTGGTGGGTACCACAGTAGTTCAGATCTGAAACCGTAAAGAAGTACAATTAAAGTATGATTTTATATTAGTTTTATATTTTACTTCACAGCACAAAACAGCAGAGAAATAAAATACATAGGGATGTAATAGGGATGCAGATGGGTCCAATTTCAGTTTGACTTTGACTCAAGTAAAGAGTGCAACACACACACACACACACACACCCTGCACAGAGGTTGAAGTATATCCAGGTCGGCTCAGTGTGCTGACTGTGCAGGCCAGTAGCTGCAGGGCCTGTTGTCTCCAGTGTTAAGGCTGATTAAAGCTTTGCTTTCTCTAATGATCTCCTCCATGCCCACAGTCTCTTTGTCTCACCACAGCTCTTCACAAAGCCTCTCTGAATACATAGAAACAGCTCAGGACCCCACCTAGCTCGGAGCACCCAGCCCAGCCCCGCTCACATTCACCTTACCCAAGGCTATCGCCTTTCCTCTGCACAATACAGCGTCCCGTGGGCACTCGTTTGCCTCCCGGATCCCAGCTCCCACACTGGGACAGAGTGGGAGGTAGGTAGTTATATTCTGGGATAATGTTGGAGGAACTTTGCTGCAATGTGGTGGGAAAATTAAAGAAGGTGAGGCCCTGAGGGAGCTGTGTCTTATCTCATACAGAGGATCAGTAAGCCATGCATGGGAAGGTGTGAAGAACCACGCCTGATAAACAAATAAACTCCGCACAGACAATGTTTCTCTCTCTGTCTTTCTCACACACAGACAAACCTGACCAACATACAATACACAGCAAACCTCTTTCATCTTTAGGCAGATGACGCAGTCCTCTACCTATTGACTTTTGCTGTGAAGGACCTTGTTTGTATTAAATACTGACAGTAAAATAAAAGTATGATTGAAAGATATATGATATTGTCTAAGACATCTGTGGCACAGCACACTGGGCAGTAGGTAGTGTTAATGAGTTTTTTTCACTAGTTTTGGTTTAGTTTTACATTTCTTGCTGTTTTTCATCATGTTGAATGGGTGTCTACTAACAGCAAACAGCAGTGGTTGGCAAAGAGACATCTGTAACATAAAATGTGGTTGTGTGTGGCGTGAAATGTGGCGTGAGGACCATGTGAGTCTCAAAGCCTCAATACACACGGCTACATGTTTGGGATGTTAAATTAAAAATAAGAAAGCAAACAGATTAACAAACAAATTAAAACCTGCTGCTAGTATTTACTTATATTTATTACATTCAACTTTCAATTCATATCTGACCTTTGTCACACAGAAGTCCTCCCCAGTTGACATCGCACACACACTGCCAGGGCTCGGTGCAGCTTCCATACACACAACCGGGGAAAGTCACACACTGGTCACAAAGAGGACCCTTCCAGCCATAATGACACCTAAAGAGGAATATGAGTGCATAGTTAATATCATGTTCACAGGACTGATGTCATACTGTTGGTGTTATATTAATATAACGGCTGTAGGAAGAGATGCTTTTTCTTTTTCACCGAATGTTGTGAAACTTCAGTAAAGTTATATTACTGTTGCACTAATTGTTGCTCTGCCACAGAAGAAGTTACAACAGATACAGATAGGTATTTCACAGGTTATATGTGGCTTTTAACTTCCACAGTTCTAACAGTGAAGAGAGATCAGAGCTGTAGCAATGACTGCAGCAATTTTAGAGTGGAAATGGCCCATCAGTGCAGACTCCTCCCTACTGCAGCAGGATTTAAGACCCATGGGATTCAAACCCCATTGCAGACATCTAATCCAGGCGGCGAAGGATCAAAAACAACATGATATGTGTTGAATTGAATTCTGGCACTGACTGACATTGCATCCAGCTTTGTACATTGGGACATTAATATTGATATTATTTATAATCAGGCCCTTGTGTCTGTTAAGTAAGTGTCTGCGGTGGAAATGTGTACATTTTCTTAATTATTCATACTCACTTGCACTCTCCAGGTACAGTGCAGGAGCCGTGGACCTGATGACACCCCTGCTTGCACCCCGCTGTGAACAAAACACACAAAAAGAGAGCTATTAGAGACTAAGAAACAGCAACTATTACTGAGCATTAAAACCTGAAATCTACACTTAATACATCTGGATCTCTGCCAGTTAAACAAAGATAACCCCAGATATCACCAGATAATCAAAACACACAGTTAACTGCGCAACACATAGGTGATAAAGTACAGCATCCATGGAGGTACCGTCACCTAGATCAAACCTCATAGGTTTCCTCTAACTCTGACTTCTCATTTTTCATTGTGAGATAATTTACTTGAACAGTTAATTCAAAAGTCCATTCAAAAGTTTCCAGCTGGAGAACCCAACACTGAAAACTCCCTAAACTTCAGCGTGGTCATTAACCTGCAGGGGGTAACAGAGGGACCCCTGGCAAATTTTTTTTAGACTTCCTCCTTCTCTTTAGTCCAATCAGCGACCCGCTGAGGAGGAAGTCAGATGAAGTGAGGATGTCCTTCAGGGTTCCCATGGTTTCCACTCTGGTTTCCTTCATTCACTTTTTACCATCGCAACATGATGGCAGCACTCCGAGGTCACACAGTGAGGTCGTCCAGCTGATGAGTCACAGACAGAGGGAGAATAATCCCACACATACACACTGTCCACTGAAGCCAACTCTATTACCAAAGGTGGGACCAAGCCACTGTTTTGTAAGTCACAAGTAAGTCTCAAAAGTGTTTGGAATCAAGTTTCAAGTCCTAAACAGTCATAATGCGCTCTTCACCAAACGTAATGTAAGTGTGACTGTATGCTGTCAGATTGGTTCAAACAAAGTGGATCTGGGGGATTCACTGTCGACTTGCTGGGAATGAATAACATACTTTTCGTCTTGGAGGAAAGTATCAAGAACTTTTAATACCAAAGGATCAAGTTCACGTGAAGTCTCCAGTCTTTGGTGATAAAGTCCAAGTCGAGTCCAAACCTCGGGTATTTACTGGTGAACAGGGGTAGATGTGTTTACTTATGTTTCCTTTTCCGTCTGTCTTTGGGAGAACTGTCTTGGGTTTTATGGTGCAAAAAGTTTGGATCTTTATGACGCTGATCCTGTTCAAAGGGTTGTTTGAGGGCTTCAACTTGGTTTAAGGATCAGTGTGTGTATGTGTGTGTACATCCAAAACAATACATCTGCCATTTAAAGCTGATGACACTGGTTCATGGGTCAAGTTTATTTTAACAGCCCTTAATCACAAAAACAATTTCAAAGGGCTTCAGAGACCAACATTAGAAAGGAAAACAACGACACTCTCATGGAAAAACCTTTTAAGAAACCTTGGAAGGGATCGCTACAGAGGAAACCCCCTTCCCGGGATAGTGGAAAAATAAATGGAAAGCAAAAACATTCTCTAATTTTTCTCATCATCGGCCTTGAGTCAACTTGAGGAAAATATTAGTTGAATATTTTTTACCATTTTGGAGTGAAAGCAACCAAAGTGGTGAAAGCTTCTCATATAAACGACTGAGCGGCTGAGCAACAAAAATGAAGGTTCCCAGTGTTTTTTTTACTCATTAACTACAAATCACACACACAAACACTTTAGATTGCGAAACATTTACATTTCATGATCAGGTCTCTACGAGAAGTCAACAGTTTAAATTTCTGTCTTGAGTAATAACCACATAATAGCTTTAGTTTTTGTCTCTTACACCTATTTATTTTCATTTCATTGTGTTTAATCATATTGTACATTTCTCTGTACTAATATAAATACAATATTTGTTTTTAAAACTGTTTTTATTTATTATTTATTTACTATTGAACACATATATTGATTTCAACACGGTATACAAGTAATTTAGCACTAAACTCACTTGAGTTGAGTAATCAATCACAGTAATCATTAAGTCTGAATTATTTTTTTGTCACATTATTTGTATCAGATAACTCATTAACCCTTTACATTAGCATGAAACAATAATGTAACTCTGACAATTTATAATGCAGACGTTAAAGGAACAGTTAGGACATGTATTGCGCTTTCTTGTTGTACGTTAGATGAAAAAACTGACACAACTTTCATGTCTGTACCATAAATATGAAGCTACATTCGGAAGGTGGTTAGCTTAGCATTAAGACTAAAGGCAGGAGGAAACAACTATCTCTGTCCAAAGATCTAAAGCTCAACACGTCTTGTTTTTTTCATCTGTACAAAAAATAAGCAGTGTAAAAACAACTTGTGGTTTTATAGGCGATACATTGCAGACTATTGTTTGGTAGAGAGCAGTAGCCTTACTGTGAGGTTGCCGAGCAACCAGTAAAGTGTTCGAAATAAGTGTATTTTGTTATCTTTGGCTCCGTTTCCACTCCGACAGCTGGTTCCAGCTTCATATTTACCACACAGCCGTGAAAGTGGTATTGATATCTATCTCATCTAATTCTTCACAAGAAATTTTAATTTATTTCCAAAAGTGTCAAACTATTCCTTTAACTATACCTTAGGATACGTATACATAACTGTATATTTGCAATCAGGAGTTAAGTATTTTATTGGTGTGAGTGGTAAACCTTTAGTATTTTAATAGGTAGATTAATTGTTACATGGTGTGTGTTTTTAAGTATTTTGCAGCTTTAAATGGGACTAAACCAAACAAAACTAAAGACTGGAACTCAAATTGTACATCTTCTCAATTTATAGAGGACATGAGGTGTGAGGTACTCTTACACGGCAGATTTAAGTTCCCTTTCTCACCTTCTTTGCACTCTGGTCCTGTCCAGCCCTCCATGCAGACCTTGGAGCCGCTGGGGTCACAGTTGAAGTGACCAAAGAAGTCATCGCGGGCCCTGCAGAACTTGTTGCAGAAAGGCCCGAAGTAGTTTGAATCACAGCGGAAACGCAGCCGGTACTCCAGGCTCAAAGTCCGTCCGTGGTGGCGGTACGTCTGCCACTGTTCACCAGGGTTCAACATGGAGGAGAGGAGGACTCGCTCAATCAACTGACCTGAGGGAGTAAGGAAAGGCTTTTTAGATTGAGCACAGCGGATAAAATACTGACCAGGTTGGCATTTTCAATTTTATCGGTATTATGGTCTGGCTTCTCTAAAACATCTATTTATCTGCCTATAATTACTCAGGTACATCCAGCAGCCTCATATAGTGAGGAGCAAACTGAAAAACACTTTCAGTATGAATATCGATGGAGACAAGGGCGCACTATACTGTAGGACCAGGGAAAAGGGGGTCTGGGGTCTGCAGAGAAAAGAGAAAGGGCATCCTGAACACCAGAGAGGACCAGACGAGGCCCGGGGCAGCGCCGGGGCAGTGACTGCAGCTCCTGACCCCCGGAGGGGATTTCCCAGAGGCGCTGTCATCCCCAACTCAGTTATAATCTCCTCTGACAGGGTATTAACACACACAAAGCACAGAGAATATGTGTGTGTGTGTGTGTGAGTACATCTGTGTGTCACAATGTATGTATGTGTGTATTTAAGAGATGGTGGCGAAGATAAAGGGAAAGATTGTGAGATAGTAACACAGAAAAGGAAGGCTTGTTGGAAGTAAGTCAGCGATGGAGTAAGGAAGGGTGTACAGTGTGTGTGTGAGTGTGTGTGTGTGTGTGTGTGTGTGTGTGTGTGTGCGTGTGACAGACACAGGCAAACAGAGCCAAAGAGGAAGGGAGGCAGCTATTAGCGCACACGCATTGCAAACCGCCTGATGGAGAGATGAGATCACTGTGGTTTGACACAAAGGAATGAAAACAGGGGCACATATTGGCCGGTGTGTGAGCGTGTTTGTCCGTGTTTGTGTGTGAGAATGTGTGTGATTGAGTGTGTGTGTTTAAGAGAGTAAAAGACGAGTGGGAACATTGCAGCCACTGAGCACCCTGTTAGCTCAACCCCCCTTCCTGTAGCCAAATCTGAGGGCCCCGGTTTTCCACTAATTACCGCAACTGCAGTGTATTGTGGGTTTTTCATTATTTTATGACTCGGGCATGTCTAAGGGCCAATTTCATCATCACCATTTCTCTGCCAGAGAAGTAGAACAGCAGAAGCGAGAAGAGTAGAAAAAAAATTAACCACATTATCAAGCAGCACAGCAGGGAAGGTGTATAACAGAGTCTGATTTCCTCTCTAATGACATTAGATGAGATAGCACAAGAACAAGTGAGCACAAGTAGCGAGAAAGATTGAGAGAGAGAGAGAAGCACTCGAATATTAGATGGCAGAAACAGCAGCAACAAGAAGCCTTGAGCTGCTTTTGAAATCACACTTTACAGAGAAGCAAATACAAGCAGCAGACACACAGGGATTGTGTCTGCAGGTAGCAAAAACACTTAAATCTCTTTCTGCGGCCTCTGGTGATTGTCCCCAACTGCCTGGTGCTAACTGTGAAGTGCTTGCCCTTGACAGTAGCTGAGAAAACACTGCAGGAGAGAAAACGCCTCCTTTTCACTTGCTATTCCGCATCACCTGAACCGACAAATCAATACAGCAGACCTATGGAAACCAATAGATCAGGTGGATGGTGTTTGTATCTCGACTATATTTGATCTATGTGAGTGATTCTCAGAGTAGTCTTGTTTTTGTTTTCAGTTTTGATTCTAGCGCAGATGTCCCAATGAAATAATTTTCATCTGGATAAAAGAACTAAGTCTAAACATGTGTCTTGAATTTTATAGACAAGCTGGTCTAGATTATAACGCTTCAAATATTGAATTTCACTTTCTCTCCAGCAGTGGTGGCAATTTTGTGGCTGTGAGTGCAATGTCAATACAGTTGAGACGCGGGTGAGCAGAGCAGCAAATCTGCACTTAAAATGACCCTATAAATATGTAAACAGATGGAGGAACTGCTAGCAAATGTAGTTTTTTCAAATTCCCCAAAAAATCAGCTCTACAATGGTTTTATCACGAAGGAAACAGGTTCGTAAAGCCTCGGAGATACACACAGTAAACTTAAACATTAATATAACTGTCTGTTCACAAGAAAACTCTACGGTACCTTTAAATGTTGAGATCTTGGATGGCAACTTCGCTAAAAAGAGGTCAGACAAGGAGATCATTCAGATAATCAGACAGATTTTAAACAAACCTCAACATTTGCCACATGAAATCATTTTCTCTTGCTCATTTTGACATGTTTCCTACTCAAGTATCACAAATACACACTTTATATACTTTATATACATGTTCTTGCCACTTTCCTCATATCTTTTACTAATAATTTACTCACATTAACTCTCATACTTACAGGTGTTTCTATTATTTTGTCCACCTGGTAGTAACAGAAACACCTCTCCGTATAATGAACTAAAGAAAAACACCTGCTAGCAGTTACTTTGGTGAGTAAAATGTCAGAGCCAATAAAAACTATAGAAATAAGACCAAAGTTGTAATAAACTGGAATTACAAAGGTACGGCCCCTGCACATTAACACTCTCTACATTATATTTAAACAAAACTCAGTGAAGGTGATGCTGTCAGTGCTCATCATATTTTCTCGCTATTTCCAAGGACTGTTTCAGAAAGGTACTGTCGTGCTGGGTAATCCTCTCTGATTAGCAGCAGGGCCTGATAAGTCCATTCAGACTGCTACAGGACGCCTGTGTTTGGGCTGAGCTAAGCTGCCGGCCTAGTGAACGGCTTTAGACCCAATGTAAGGGCTGTCAGGAGCTCAGGTGGAAACGGCCGATAATGCAAACAAGATGTAAGAGCAGTGCTGGAGGGCAGAGGGAAGGAGAAGGTGGAAGAGGACATGAAGGACGAACACAGGGAAGGATCTCTGGTGCAGTTTTCTCATTATCTTAGCCATCTTTTGGATACGACCGGGGATGGTGGGATGAAAGGGACGACTGTGGCATGACAGGAATGAGGAAGGCATAGGAACATCTGTCTCGATCTGTGTGTGTGTGTGTGTGTGTGTGTGTGTGTGTGTGTGTGTATGCTTTTTATAGCATGCAACTCACATTCCCTGTCATGGAGCTTTTTCTGATTATGAGGAGAAACTACAAGGAGACGAGCAGGAAATTAAAGGGTCTGGATAAAAGACCTTCTAGCCTTGTACGATCACAGACATAAAGACACGAGGGGTATTTTCACATTGTTTCACCATGTTGAACCACACATGCTCGTAAACAAGCTCTCAGGAAACGTTTGACTCGATGGAAGTGTTGCTTGTTGGAAACTAAAGTCATAGATAAGATGTACATTTCTTGGAGAGAGAAATAAAGCCCAAACACAGTAAGTAACATTACATATTTGGTCAAGTAAGTAATTAAATAAAGATCAGAATCTCAGTTTTTTACATCTATTTTACCGTACAGGCTACAAATGATTATGCTTTAGAAGTGTGCAATTTTATAAAAGCAACAACAACAACACGTGTAATTCTTAGGAACCACAGAACAGAGGAAACATAAAAAAAACAAATGCCGGGACTGCACTTTAGCTAGTTAAAGCAAGCCGAGTCAGAGTCAGAGTCAGAGCTAATTTACCAACTTTTTTACCCTTTTCCTGTAACTGAACAAAAATGTATGTTCCAACATCTAATTGAGTTTATACCACTTTAAACAGGTTGAATACAATCATAATAAAGAAAAGAATTACATTATTAACACATTCATGCCAAAAGCTATCTTAGATGCCCAACTATGTACATTTTGACATTGACAAAATTGAGTTATAACAAGAATTTGACTTTTTACATTTGTTTAGAAATGTGTAATTAAACAAAACAAAACCCTGAAATTCGCCAGGAACCACAAAACAGGTGAAAAACCAAATTGCAGCATCACCTGTTTCTGTGTCGTTGTCGTAGTCCAGAGCCTCCAACACCAGAGAGAAGGACTTCTGTGGAGGAAACAGAGAGAAAACATCTGTCAGACGCAAATATACATTTTTGAGTTTAACATCACAATAAAAAACAAAAGAGAATTCTGTTCTCCTTTACAGTCGCATCCATTGTCTCACTAGAGAAAGAGGTCTTCCAGTGCGTCTTCACCGTATCACCCCTTGTGTTTGTATATGAAGGCCAAAGAGAAGTTTTAATCCCAGAGATGGGCTATGTTCTTGACCTGCATGATCACTCAATCCTCTATATTTAGGAAGTATTCAGATTTTTTATGCTAAAAGGTGGGGACAGTCAGTCTGGAGAAAGATAGTTTACCATTGAGTCTCATTCCCAGCTCATCAAATCGCCCGTATTTGATGTCCTACATAAAAAATTATTTCTACGTAAAAGTGCAGCATAATCTAAGTACTTACGATGCAAAATTGCACCATTCAGAGTTAAAAGTGTTATATTTATCATGAACCGGAAGATAAGTACTGAATCATGAATGTATAAGCAGCATTTTAATGTCGACAGGATGTGTTGTCTTTATAAACTGTATAGTTTAATCTGCACTTATGTGTTTTACTTTATAAAGGAATCATGTTTTACATATAAAATCTTGATCTGAAAGTTAAGTAGTAACTATAGCAGTGAATTAAATGTAGTAGAAGGATAAAGCATAAAATGGAAAAATAAAAAAGTAAAGTACAGCTTCATCAAAACTGTACTTACATGCTGTACTTAAGTAAATGTACCAAGTTTAATTTTACCACTGAGTAAAGAGTGTGTGTGTGTGTGTGTGTGTGTGTGTGTGTGTGTGTGTGTGTGTGTGTGTGTGTGTGTGTGTGTGTGTGTTTCTATCCTCGCCCTAAAACTTGAAATAAAAGTACAACATCAGAAGTGATTCACTGCCCGAACACGCCAGAGCTGCAGCGTGGGTGCTGATTCAAGAAAACCTCAACCTGCAGCCATGCAGAGAGAGACGCAGAAAGACATCAGTGGGGTTAGGGAGGACGTCCAAAAAAAACCCTGTTCAATTTCACAAACACAATCTTGGACCAGGTGTGATGCTCTATCGTGCTCTTTTTACTCTCCAGCAAGTCTTGCAGATTAATCCTATATAGACAGGGCAGGTTATTGCGTGCACAGTCTATTTGACTACATCTAGATATAATTAGTATACATATATGTATATTAAAATTCATAGCCATAGGTAAAGATAAAGTCAGCCTTTATGTGGCCATCCTGCAGTACACAAGCTGGGGACTCTGGCATAAGCTGGAAACCTTCAAATGATGACTTTGAGCTTACAGAGATATCACACTCTGGAGAGATAACAGAGGACAGGTGTTTTTTCTTCTGCCTTTCTCTTTTTCTGATGCATTCGTTCATCCTATAGACCAGCAATGAATAATTCAGTCCAACGCTTTCTCCTACAACTCTCTCTCTGTCTTTTAGCTTTCTCTATCTCTTTCCATCCCTACCTCTGCAAAGCGTACCAGCGCCTGTAATGCAAATCGCTCCACCATGAGCATTGTGGGTAAGGTTTCTCCTAAAGGGCTACATGGATGTGTAGTCACGTCTTTGCAGTGAGAGTGTGCTGCCAGAGGAGGAGGAGGAGGAGGAGGAGGAGGAGAGGAAGTTGAGGGAGGCAGGAATAGATAGGAAGCAGGTGAGTGAGCACAGGAGGTGAGTGAGGTGTGAAGTGAGGGAGAAATGGATTTGGAGGGGGGGTTAAGGGCAGGAGGTCGGTGAAAAGTGGCGACACGCGAGGAGGAGAAGAGAAGATGAAGGGTTGCAGTGAAGGTGCAAAATGTTAGGGGAGTGAAAATTGGTGTGTCAGAAAACACTGAGTCAGGGATTTGCTTCAAGTGGAGGCACATCCAGTATATCTGTGCTGCAACAGACGGGATGAAAAGGTGAGCAGAGTGATTGTACAAAGGGGAAAAGGACTGAGAAAAAGCAGCCAGAAAGGGTAATTATGTGGGAGTATGTAAAGAGAAAAGGGCAAAGAAAGGGAGAGGAGAAACTGTGGCAGCTGTGGTGGAATAACGATTTGCAGAACTCCTGGAGTTTTCCAGATTTTTTAGATATGTGATGGAGAAAGAGAACAAAGAGGTCAGAGGGAGGTGAAACAAAAGGATGATGAGATAAAAGAGATTAGAGGAAGCACAAAAGTAAAGGAGAGGCGATAAGATAAGAAAAAAGAATAGTAAGGGGAAGAGGACGAACACCCACAAACACACATTACTTAGAAGTCACGGTACTAATGAGATGTGCTGGGTTGCAGAGGGCTCGCAGCCAGTTCATTAAGGCCAGCAGATAGCAGGTAGCCAACAGATGGAACAGCTGGAGTCATTAAGCTTTGGCTTACAACTCTCACCTGAAGTTATGTTTAGTATTCATGAGTTATATCTTTACACTGCGAATCCAATGTGAAACATTTAGGAGGATTGGCAGAAATGTAATAATATTTATAGATATGTTTTCATTGATGTGTAATCACCTGGAAATAAGAATTGTTCTGTTACCTCACAATGAGCCACTTCTGTCTACAGAGGGAGCAGAGTCGGCCACTGGCTCTAGATAGGACCTTTTACAGCCACCGTAGTTTCTCCTACACGCTTGGAGGTGAGGGGGGTGAAGCAAGAGAGTTGCAATCAGCAACTACACGGCTAGGTGCCACTAAATCCTACACACTGGACCTTTAAAACAGCAACAAGGACCTTTAATTTTTTTCCTAATTCTGGTAGACCCTGTGGACTAATGTTTCCACCGCCTCGTTTAATTGATTTCAGGGGGAATTCAGTTGAATCTGACCCGGTGGCAGGCATTAAGAGTATATAGAAATAATATATAGAGCCAATTTTCTCACAGATGGTCTGATGTGCTTATGCAGGTCATATAGCGGCATCGGTATTAAACTGAGACTGTTTCATAACCAGATAAAAACTTCTTGTAAAAGTGCCTCATGTATCAAAAAGTTTTTACATTTTGTGCACTGTCTCTGTTCAAATAAAATAAATAATAATAATAATAATCAGATTGTTAATACTGATGCAACAAAGTGTAAGAAGAATGTTCCTGAGTTTTTACTACTTTATATACACTTCGGTTGTTTAGTCCCTACAGTGGGTCACAAGATAAATCTGAGGGGTCGTGAGATGATTAATGGGAGAGAAAAGAAGAAAAAACAAAATTCTGCTACATAACCTTGTGTTAATGTTTCATACTTTCTTTAATCTCTGCTTTTCTTCTTTGAATACTGTATACTTTGACCTTTTTAGGCAAATAATGATTTAAATGAAACAAACAAACTTAAAGGGAAATGTCTCTTCGGTAGAACTGCTAACAACATCTGAATCATGAGGGACACAACTAAACAATGCTTCTTGTACAGAGTAACAATGCACTAGTTTAATCTTTAAATGCTCCTCCTATTTAGCATTGCACGTTAAAATACAAAAATTGATGCAACACAGAAGACAATAAAGGTGGAGTTTTCTTTAACAATATGTAATGTATTTCATAAGTTTATATTGTGTTTTGTTTAATAAGCCTGAACTGTAACTAGTAACTATAGCTGTCAGATAAACATAGTGCAGTAAAGAAGAACAATTAAAATGTGGTGGAGTGGAAGTATAAAGTTTAACAATTCACAATTGTACTTAAGTAGAGTACTTGAGTAAATCTCCTCCTGCAGCAGATTGATAAACAATAAAAAACAGATAAAAAGCTGCTTGAGTTGAAGCTATTTCAGGATCAGATCCGTTATGATAAAAACTGTCCACTACTACAAAATGCACACACAGCATTACTTCACTGTTAGCTCGCTCACAGACCTCTTAGGCTTATCATCTTTCCAATCGCCCTCCCTCTTCCCTCACCCTTCCTTCCATCCACTTTGTGCGCCTCTCCCTTTTTCTGCCCGCACCCTCTGCCAACTGTTGCGGCAGGTTAAGACCTGTGGGAAGTCCAGAGCCTTTTTTTATTTTCTCCTCGCCTCATCACCCACAAGTGCACACAGCCAGGTAAGTTATGATATTGCCATTGATACAGGAAGGGTGTATCTGCGGTAAGCCCTGTTGCTACGGTTGAGGTCCCATATGGCGGCCAGGAGGGGTCAAACTAATCTTGGTTACCAAGTTAAAATCACAACAACATCCACTGATAAGACTTGGAATATGTGGGTAAAAAGATTAAGAAAATCACCTACAATAAACCCTTCCTGACAACCTTTCCAAAACACACACACACACACACACACACACACACACACACACACACACACACACACACACACACACACACACACACACACACACACACGAACACCATAGCAATTTATTTTAATCACGTCAAGAAGACCTGTGGACATCAGAGGCCGGGCGAAGGCGAAGTGACCTCATGGTAAGAAGAAAAACAACACGCACAGAGAGGAAAATCCAACGGTAAACATCACAAAGAAGAGGCTGATAAGATCACAGTCAACGATGTGGTGATATTTTTACCTCGTTCTGACACAAACAACATCTCAGTGTTATTTGTGCCATTTGTGGAGATAATGGCCACAGTGATGACAGCGGGGAAATGACACAATGGGAATGGTGTGTGCGTGTGTGTGCGTGTGTGTGTGTGTGTGTGTGTAGCGATAATTTTGGAGATTGGCCAGGCAGAGGAACAAACAGTAAAACATATTAAAAAATGACAAGGATTATTGTGTCTTCTTTCACATCTGGAAGATAAAATCTTTCTTCCTCCTGAAAAAAATTTACGATTTGAACCTTGCGATGAAAAAAACAATGGAGGTTCTTGGGATGGATTTCATTTGGTCAAGAGCACAACACTGCAGCTTGGCCATTGGATACCAGGCTACTGAGAGGTTAATGTTCCTCTGGTTATTCCTATAGTGCCAACAACCCACAACAACCCTTTGATGGTGTGAGTTAGGAAAAACACTATAACTCTATATCTTTCTGAAACACTGCGTATAAGAAATTCTTAATTATTTGTCCCC